CTAGGTAATCAATCGCTGGTTCCACAGACTGATACTCCGCGTCTATCAAGAGTGGCAAGCGGCCGTCAGCGCAGGCATCACAGATTTTCCTTAGCCTATTGTGAGCTGATGTGATGGCAGCTTCCTCGCTGGGCGTGAGAGGGGAAGGTGCTGAGGTGGGGGTGAAGTAGGTGGGGGACTCGAGAGCTAGAATCGGGAGGGAGGGGCGGCGCCACGGCATGGGGACAGAGGCAGCCGAGGAAGTGGAGGAAGAGGAGGAGAGCTTGTGGTCCCAGCGCAGGAGTTCGCTGACTCGTTCGAGCACCGGGAGTGGGCAGAGGGCCGTGATCTTGACACAGGCGAAGCTCACCTGCATGGAGTGATTGGTATGCATAACAGGGCATGGAGTATAGAAGGCTCGTGGTTGAATGGGAAGGGGACCTTGAAGGGGGGCTATAAAGGAGATCCGGCTATGGATGGATGTGTAGAATGCAAATGGGTTAGGAATGGACAACAGAAATAATAGATATACCGAGCCCAATGGGTGTTGAAGATTTCTGCTACTTCACTGGGTGGGTAACCTACGACTAGTCTGCACAATCTCTAGTTCATTTCACAATTTTTTCCTCGAGAGCCTTCTTTTGCATCACCAGAAAGAAACTCTTACCATGGGTGGTGACAGATGTGACGCCATTCTGATGGTGCGCAGAAACCCTTCCATGTTTCGGTCGCATGTTTCATCATCTAACGCGTCCTCCACACTGTGTTGTAGAGGTGGAAGAAGATGGGAGGGAAGGGGGTAAAGTAAAAAAAGGCGTAAATGATGAAGCATTTTCTCGTGATTACGAATCATATATGAATGACAGACTAGTGTAACTTAAATGTTGTTGAACTAGAAATATCAGTGTTATGAACTTAACATATAAAGGTTATAAGTTTGGTGTAGCACCTTTCCAACCTTGTTCAGAATACCAACCGGCACTTTCGCGAGCCGCGTGGACCGAAATTCGGGATTTTCAATGACCTCTGAAATTCGCGTCGCTCACACCACCCACCACCCCAAGCCCGTTCCGCAGCCTTCCCCATCCATCAGAATCCGAAGCACTCACTTCCCTCCCTCGTACAAATCGAGGCTCGCACCCACTCTTCTCCCCCAAATCAATCTACTCGCTCTCACAATTCCTGCATCCCTCATCGACAGCTTATGCATAATTTTGCTTATCACGCCGCGTGGATGGAGAGCACCTCGGGATCATCGGGACCTACCGCCAGTGGCGGAGCTCGGGTCACAGCGCGCCGAACTGGCGGCTTGACCCACGACGGCACCTCCGCTGAATCCGTCCTATTAGTAGGTCCCGCAGGACCTGGAGGCATTCAAGGAGCGAATCCCGCAGCTCTCTCATCGAACTCGGCTACGCCCGCGGTTGCGAGCGCAAACGGAAACGCGAGTGCCAATGTAAACGGAGACTCAAGCCCCAACGCCAACCCCAGCGGCAACGCCAATGCCAACGCTAATGGGAACGTCAACAACGCCAACCCGAATGCCAACGGGGTGGCGGATCACGAATCACGTTTGGACGAACACCCTCGTCGACTGAAAGAGGCGGCCGAGGCGGCATCGTCATGGGCGGCCGTGTCATCGCTCACCGCGTCCTACGCTTCCTACACGGCTTGTGTCGCCGTGATCGCCGCTCTCGGCGCGACCGCCGCCATCGCGTGGACCAGCGGGGATGCCGTGGAGTCGCCGAGAAAGGCGAATTTCCGCGCAGTTGCGCGCGCCATCGCGGCTACGACGAGCGCGGTGGTGGTGGCGGTGACGGCCACGGCGACCGCGAACGTCGCGAGCGTGGGGGCGCACGCGTCGAGTGTGCTGGCGGAACGGCTGATGCTGCAAGCGGCGGTGCAGGAGCGACGCGCGGAATCAGCGGCGAGGAATAGGGGACGCGGAGAGAGGGGGGGGCGCGGGGACTAGGGGGGACGCGGAGAGTGGTGGGGACATGAAGTGTAAAACGCGCACGTGACGTCCAACTCAGAGCTTGCTACGCAAGCCACGCGCTCCCCCCAGCAAACCGCCGAGAGTACACGAATTGTATAGCTGTCCAGCTACCGTTATGGAGGTCAGTGATCTGCTGCCCTCGTAGTTTCTGTTCACGATGCAGTTAAAGCTGATAGAAAAATAGCTCTGATCCGACGCATCGAAAAGTGACTACAAGCTTCACGCCTCGGCATTGTTAGAGGAGACAGCATCTAGATGATTGATCACTAAGCTCTATTTTGTCGCTTCGGTGTGCCATCTGACTGCACAGCTAGCTGCTTCCTCTCTTGCTGTTTCCTCTCTAGCTCGTCCCATGTACTAGTTCTACCTGCATTCGTTTCCATAACGCTTTGCTCTAACAAACGCGCGTAACAGCAATCCAATGCACCCCTTCGCGGAGAATTTTGAAGGCTCGTTGGCGGACGGTAGAACCGCAAGCAGTAACGCTCTTACAAGCTACGGCTGTTCTTCTGAGTTTGCCGGACCTCGCTTGCTTCACCTCCTCTCTGTACGCTTCGCTTCGGTAAAATCGTTCAGCTACAAGATACACTCAACTGTACTGTTTTGAGGGCGTTTATTCGTATAAATTGTCGAAAAGAAATATGTACAGTACCTGAAGTCCAGGATGCCTTTGAGACCGAGTTGCTGCATGCGGTCGAGCGTCGCAACCGCCTCCTCCAGCGTCTCCCCCGCGCAGAAGTGCTTATGCGCCGTCTTCCGCACCCCCCACAGCACCGGCCCCGCCACCAGCGGAATCCGCATCACAGGTGACGTCAGCAGCGCTGAGCTGGCATCCACCACCATCTCCCGCGCCGCCATTTCGAGGTTCAGGATCGCGTTCGCGACCTCTGACGTGGACAGCTGTTGAAACAGCTTCTGCACGTTTTCCACATTGAGCGACTCTGCTGCGGCCGCCGCATCCCCGCCCGCCGCCTTTCGCGCGGCATCTGCCAGCGTGGACGACGCTACGTCAGCTTTGTCGCCGCCACCGCTGCTACCGCGAGAGGAGAAGAAGGGACGCGCGGAGAGGGGCTGGTCAAGGACGAGATTTGCGGCGCTCGCAGCGAATGTGGGGGACAGATGACGAGGAGGTGAGCGGAGAGCGTGGCGGGAGAGGGCGGCTGGCGAGGGGAAAGAACACGCGGGACGGTCGAGAGGGGAGAGCTGAGAGTGAAAGGAGGAGGCCGGGGTTGAAAGAAAGCGCCTGACGCCTGAGGGCGCGCTGAAGGGGATGGGAAAACTGCTTGTTGGGCCATCAGCTGTAGCGGTTGTAGCAGCTGTAGCGGCTGTAGCGGTTCCATGAGCAGGAGATGTTCCCAAGGGCGGTGCAGAGGTGGAGGGAACAGAAGGCGGGGCTTGAACGAGCGTGGTAAGAGCGGCCAGGGAGTTCTGGAGGAGGGCCGTCGCTGGAGCGGCTGCGAGGTAGAGGTGGTGGTGGAGTCGTGAAGCTGCGCTGAGAGCATGACGTGAGGACGACGACATTCCGTTGATCGACGCCGCCATTGTTGCTCAAGTGTGGCTGTTTTGTGTTCAAGGTTGAGCAATACGCCACTGGTAGCAGTCGTGGGAGATGTCTATTCCGCTGGGGTCCCTACGTGTGACAGGGAGATCCACTCATTGCTCCTATTACAATCGTACAAGCCGCTTTCTATTGTTCGTAAAGCCTGGTTCAGAGAAAGCTGTCGTCGGGGGACCTAGAGAAAGCGGCTTGAGCGACCTTATAAAATTCGGAAAACTGGTTTTAGGGTAAACGAGTCTCGAGAATCCGTATGTTATATGCTTCACCAGGTAATGGTCCTAGGATAGTCAGGCGAGTGCAACAACAGAAGCATCGACATTTACAGACCTAAAGCATGAGCAGAGTGAGCGTGAGAAGAACTGGGCTACGGATATTGAGGTAGTAAGATGGTCAGAGAACTTGCGGCTGCCTGAACATAGACCAGGAAAATGGAATTTCAACATGGCTGGCTGGGAGGGAAGAGCGAACTGATGCAGTAACGATTTGCATTCGTCAAGCAAGGCCATGCCGTGGTTCCAGATGGGAGCCGCAGAAGAACGCCAGCGCGACAGCGATTGGCTGACTTGACACCAAGCATTGGCCGGAGGTTTGGCTGAGCTGGAAAATGCTCACGTGATTGACGTGGCTTTTCGCGCCAATGACGAGGGCTGGGACTGGATATTCGCTGGGCTGCCGTCAGAATGACAAGACTCGGTTCGCAAGGTTGTTGGGAATTGCAGAATGGGGACTCAGAAATGGAAGCTTACTGTACGGTTCCACTTAAATAAAGGCATACGATAAATGATTGCAAAGACCTATTGTCGGAGCAAATAACGGAATGTATGTTGGTGCACCACCCAAATGGTCTCCATATATCTTGTGCTGCCTCGATATTCTCCCAGCTTCGATTCAACCCGGAATGTTGTTCCACACCCTAACGCGTACATCACGCCCACAATGGAAAGGCTTGATATTTTTTCACCAGTTTAGCGGGCCCCAGAATTAGCTGGCCCATAATGGCCCCTCTTCGCGCGTCCGCGCGTCGCGCGCTTACGCTGGTCCACGAACGACAACCGTTGATTTCGACTTCTGTGCCTTCCGTCGAATCAACGGCTGGTACAATGGCAGCTGGCATCACGGCAGGAACAACGGCGGGGATCACGGCGGGTAGATTGCCGAGGGTCGCTAGGTCCTTGCCTTGGCACGAATCCACACCAATTGGCGTCCGTAGATGCGGATTGTACGGTCCTTCGCAACCGCTAAGCGCGCTATTGGCGCGAGATCAACGGTCTGGATTCATATCCCGGGGGGCTTTAGCAGGAGCGGTGACGCTGCTGAGGACCAGTGAAGTATGGGGTTCCAGTAACGGCGGATCTGTGCCGTCCACATTGGCTCGGCAGCCGATCCAACGGCTGGCGATGCCTCAACCACCGCTTTGCGCGGGGCTTCCGCTTTTGCGCGAATTTAGCGCCTCCGCTGCCGCTTCAGATGCAGGCGAGAGAGGCGAGTCGAACCTGGAAGAGCCGCGGACTAAGAGCTTCCGCTCTCGGAATCCGAAGCCTGGATTCCAACGGCTTGGCCAAGATCCCTGGGATCGGACGGCTGGAAGCAGCTGGGCTGTTTCAGATGCAAAAGATCAAACGGCTGGTATGCGTTCATCGGGGGATCGGACGGCGGAGGGGGATCGCAGACGGAGCGACGGGGGAGGGAGGGGTAGAATGGGAGGTGGGAGAGGGTGGGACAGGCGGAATGAGGGAGGCAGGGAGTGGGAGGGCAGGAAGGAAGGAGATAGGGAGGGTGTGGGAAGGAGGAGGGAGTGGGAGAGTAGAGCTGGGGGTGACAGCGAGGTACAGAGGGGGAGGGGAGAGGGGAGGGGATGGGAGAGTAGGAGCGGCGGTGGGAGGGAGTGGGAAAAGAGGGGAATGGCGAGGGAGTGGGGGAACGGGAGAGAGGAGAACAGAAGCGGGGGGGGCGGAGAGTGGGGGAACAGAAGCGGGGGTGGCGGAGAGTGGGGGAACAGAAGCGGGGGTGGCGGAGGGCGGGGGGAGAGGGGCGGCGTTAGATCATGGGAGCAGCGCGGGTCGAGGAGCAGCCGAGAGCATGAGATGGAGAAGCGGGAGCGGATGGGGCAGGGGGGGCGAGGAGTGGGGGATGGCGCAAGTAGCGGGAGCGGTGGCAGGGGGAGCTGGGGGGACAGGGGGAGCAGGGAGGACAGGGGGAGCAGGGAGGACAGGGGTGAACGGGGGGGAAGAGGGGGAAGGGGAGGAAGGGGGAGCAGGGAGGGGAGGAGCAGCTGGGAGGGCAGGGGGAGCAGTGGGGGGAGGAGCAGCTGGGGGGAACGGGGGAGCAGGGGGGGAAGGGGGGCCAGAGGGAGCGGTGGGGGGAGGGGGCGCGGAGGGGGCATGGGGGGCAGAGGGGACATGGAGAACGGGGAGAGTATGGGGGAGATTGGCAGGGGGAGTGGCAGCATGGCAGGCGCGCGGAGGAATAGGTGGGGGGAGGGAGAAACCGGAGCAATACTAGCTGCGGAAAGAGAGGGGTGGGGGGAGATTGGAGCTGGGATAAGGGGAGCGGCGGAAGGAGGGCGGAAGGTGGGGGGGGGTAGGGGTGAAAGGGGCGGAAAAGGGAGAAGGGGGAGAAGGGGCGGAGGCGGCGGAGGGGAAGGAGGGGTACAAGGGGGTATTCTGGGTGAGTGGAAGTGGGTATAAGGGCACGGGGAGGGATCGACGGCGCGATGTGAGTGGCGCTCTTGGCACCACTGGGGATGGGGAGAGGTGGATGGAGGGCGGGGATGAGGGGGAGGAGGAAGAAGAAGAAGAAGATGAGGATGAGGAAGAGGATGAGGAGGAGGAGGAGGAGGAGGAGGAGGAGGAGGAGGAAGAGGAGGAAGAGGAGGAAGAAGGAGAATATGAGGAGGATGAAGAGGAAGAGGGGGAGGAGGAGGGAGAGGAGAGAGGATGGAAAAGGAAAGAGACTGGGATGAAGGTAGACGGGGTTCAGGGTTTTAAGCGCCAGGAATTTTCCCAGGGTCTGTCTGCTGAGGAGAAGCAGCAGATCTGGAGAGAATCGAATCTCAATCCAGACCGCCCTCCCCAAGATGCTGACAGGCCGCCCTGGCAAACCCTTCTAGAGAGACCAGCAGTGCCGCACGTGCGTGACGATGCAGCAAAATGGCAAAGGAAAATGGTGGAGAAGCGAGCGAGAAGAGACGCTGAGAGTGACAGAGATTGGGAGCGGGGCAGGGAGTGGGAGAGGGAGAGGGAGCAGGGTTTAAGCGGGGGTTTAGGGGAGAGGGACCGGGAGGGTGCGGCTGACATGGCAAAGTTAAAGGTGGCGTGGCTGATTGATGAGCTGGCGGTGCTGCGGCCGGCAGCGATCGTGAAGCTGCTGAACGCGCAGCGGGCGTGGATAGGGATGGAGCATGTGGAGGGGGTGGTCAGAGGGCTGCTGGAGAGAAAGGAGACTCTGCGTGCAATTCGGGTATGTGTTGGGCTTGGTTTCGGGTTCAGGGTTCGGGGTTCGGGGTTCTGATCCAGGGTTCGGATTCAGGGTTTTATTTCTATTGTCCGTAGGCCTTGCTGACCTGCTGTCAAACCACACTCTTTTCCCCTGCTCCCCTCCCTGCCCGACTCATTGCTTCCCCACTCCCCCATTCTCCACCTCCCGAACCCTTCACCCCCCCTGCTTCTCTCAACCCTTCCCCCTCTCCAGGCGCTCAAGTGGGCGCGCCAAACCGCCTTCTACGCACCCATCCCCGCCCTCTACGCCGACCTGCTGGACGCAGCAACGGCCAATCAGCACGTGCCACGCGCGCAGGAGCTTTTCGACATGATGCTGGCCCACGGGCTGGTGCCCCCTAGAAGAAACTACGAGGGGCTAATCAGAATGTTCCTACGAGAAAGCCGGCGGTTGCAGGAGGGGAAGGGTCCGAGTTGGGAAGGGGAGGAGGAAGACGGAACCGGAGGGGTACTTGACAGTCAAGATAGGAGCAGAGCGGTGGAGAGTGGTGGAGAGGCTGGGAGAGGGCCCGGGGGATTCAAGGGGTTTAAGGAGATGAAACAGGCTGAGAAGGCGGCGGCAGAGGTGGAGAGGGGTTGGGAGGTTTACCGGCAGATGAAGCAGTTTGCAGAGCTCACTCCCAGCAGGGCCATACAGGAGGAGCTGTGGGCTGTTCTCACTCTCAGGGGTGGCTCTGGGCGGCACTTGGTTAAGGCTGAAGAGCTGTTGAGAGATATGGAGGCTGGGGAGGGGATGGAGGACGGGGAAGGGGAAGGGGAGGGGGAGGGGGATGGGGAGGAGAGTGAAGTGGGGGATAAGGAAATGGAAAGGGTGCGATCCCCCGCCGATTCTCGTGTGCGTGCCGCCCGGTATGCACTACTGTTGCGCCATGCTGGCCTTGCAGGTGACGTGGCACGCACGGAGAATCTGCTCTCGCGGATGCGGACGGTGGGAATACCGCCGAATTCCGCCGCCCTGGAGGCGCCAGTTGTCGCGTGTGCATTGGCCGGAAAGCGGAGGAAGGATTGGGAGGGAGGGGGGGTGGGTGGGGGAAAGGGAGGTAAGGAGGGGATGAAAGAGGGCGGAGGAGGAGAAAGGCTGTTGAGTTTGGCAGAGAGAGCTGAAAAGGGGATTGAAGAGCTTGAAAGCGAAGGTTTTCTGCCCGGGCAGGTGGTGTTGACAGCGCTGATGGAAACTTACAACCATGCCGGGCAGCACGAAAAAGTTTTGCAAGTGTGGCCGAGAGTGCTGGAGGCTGGAAGCAAATTTTCTAAGCGCGTGAAACAAGATGATGTCGACAGGGGGGAGGGGGGAGAAGAGGAAAGGGAGAGGGGAGAAGGGGAAGAGGAGGGGGTGGAACGGGAATTGGAGGGTGGGGGCCAGGGGTCACGAGATAGACTAGCAGATGACAAAGCGGTGATGGTGAGAGCTTATAACGCGTATGTGGAGGGGGTGGTGGGTGCAGGTGAGATGGGGAGGGCGGAGGAGGTGGTGGGGGAGATGGCAGCTGAGGGGATCCCTGGGTTGCACCTGAGGGAGGCTTATCTGTCCCTGCTGAGAGGGTATGTGCGGATGGGTGGGGGAGGGGCAGGGGGGGTAGTGGACGGGATAGAGCAGGGAGAGGGGATGGGAGAAGGTGGGGAAGGGGAATGGATGGGAGGGGAGGGTAGGGACGAGGCACGGAAGGCTTTGGATGCGGTTGGTGGGTGTTTCCGAACCATGGTTCAGGCTCGGTGCGAGCCGAACCAGGAGGCTTGGAACCTGTACATCCGTGCGTTGATCCAGGCTGGGGAGATCAGAGAAGCTATGAAGGTGTACAGAGCGATGCAGAGCAGTGATGAGGCAACCAAGAAGAGAAAGGAGAAGAGCAAGGGTGGGGGGAGGAAGAAGGGGAAGGGGGTAGGGGCGGGTGCAGGGACGAGCACAGAGGGGGGTGAGGGGATGGGTGAATCAGGGAGGGTTACGGTGATTGGGTCGGGTTTGGAAGGAGGTTTGGCAGTCAGGTTCGGGCCGAACCAGGAGACGTACAACATGGTGATAGCTGCTGCTGGTGCAGCTGGTGATGTTGACACGGTGCGATCCATCTATACTGATCTTAGGGGCGGTGTTCCTCTTGCTGCCCGTGCTCCTACTGCTGGTGCTTCTGCTGCTGCTTTCGAGGTAGGGGACACAGAGGAAGAGGGGGAAGAAGAGGGAGAAGAGGATGAAGCAGGGGGGGCACTGGTGCGAAGCGCGCCCGCAAAGCTTAAAGCTAGACTACTCGGTTTGGCGAGGGAAGCCGCCCTGCGAGCGGTCGGCAGACGTCGTCTGCTAGCAGACGAGTCAGCAGGGCTGAAGCTCTCGCAGGAGCAGCGGCAGATCTTATCTGGGCTGATCCTCGCTGGCGCTGACGTGGCGAGCGATGACGGGGCCGCGACGGCGGCGGTGCGGTTTGCAGTGGCGGCGGGGGAGGAGAGGAGGGAGCGGGTGATAGAGCACCTGTATGAGTTGTTTGGGGAGTGGGCTGCTGGACCCATCGTGGAGGAGGAAGTGAGTGTGGATGGGGGTGGGGAGGAGGGCGGGGAGGTGAGTGGGGAGGCGGTTGGAAGGATGATGGGGAGGGAGGAAGGGGAGGAAGGGGGTGAGAGGGAGGAGGGGGGGAACGGGGAGAGAGAGAGCGAGGAGGGTGACTGGAAGGAGCAGGCAGTGGATAATTTCAGGGAGACGGGCAGCATGGGCAGCTCGGGCAGCACAGTGGGCAGGACGCAGCGGGTGCTGACGTTCAGCACGGTGCCGCACCCCTCGCTGGTGTTCTACCTGCACCAGTACCGCCCTGAGAAGCAGGATGGGCGGGCCGTTGTGCCCCGCCTCGTGCACAAGTGGCTCACCCCGCGCGCCCTCGCCTACTGGTACATGTACGCTGGTCAACGCGGTCAACCCGGTCAACGGGGAAAGCAAGGTCAGCCTGGAGGGTCGATTATTCTGGATGCGGGGATGTACCAGGCGAAGGAGGTGGCGCTTATAGTGAAGGCGCTTAAAGCGAGGACGATTGACTGTGCACAGAGCAAGAGGGGGAAGGGGAGCAAAGGGCAGCGTGCTGTGAGATTCTCGGGGGCCTCGGCTCAATTTCTATGGAAATTCATGGAGCCTTTTGTTTTGGAAGAAGTTAAGGAAGAGTTGAACCCTGTTGGAGGGGGTGGGAGTGGAGGAGGGAGGAGGGGAGGAGGGAGAGTGGGGTTGGGGAAGTTTACTGTGGGGGAGGGAGGGGTGGTGGTGGGTGAGGAGAAGTTTGTGGGCGGTGCAAAGGGTGTGGCGAATGAGGGGGCTCGGGAGAGCGAAGAGGACCGGCGGGAAGGCTGGGTGAGCCTGACTCGGGCAGTGAAGGAGGCAAAGCATGGAGGTTACGATGATAGTTGATGATTGGATGTGTGTTAAGCAAGGAGGATCCAGGATTGGCTGCTTGGCTGGTGGCTGTGACGTCTTCGCCACAGCTGCTGGACATGGCATGCTGCCACTGCGGAAGACAGCATCCATGTCAAAGAGGTTGGTTCAGTCTGTCTCAGCAAGCAGACTGGATAGCACCCACTCCATGCTCTTGCGGTACCTGGTAGCAATGCTACATGCGCTTACTGCCTTGCCCTGCATTATGTTTTGGGGTGTTAGCAAGTACCCCGAGTTCTGACCATTCCTGTACTGCACAAAATGTGAGAAATTGCCGAGTCTTGTCAATCCCTGCCATCCCCACTCGCTAAGGACCTGTCTGACTGGCTCTGGCTGGCTCTGTGCGTGCATGCATGCCGCATGCATGCACATGGTTGGCTTGGCTCCACTTCCACTTCCACATGGTTGACGACGCCCTGCACTTCCACTTTCTCCCATCACCGTACACATGCCTCTCATGCTAGCTCCGCCTCAATTCAACTCATCACTGTGAACGAGGGCTTGTCCTGTCGCAGCCAGGTCGTCCTCCTCGCGACAGTCTCACGGCACACCAGGGGCCTGGACGTCTCGTCATGGCGCGGCACAGCGCCTGCACTGCAGGAGGACACATGTCTGTCCTACTTTGGTGTTTGTGCCCACCCTGTCCTCCTCACGCTTCGACATGGCATACCCGAGCCAGGGCATTATGCCACGGTACACCATGCACGGCACCGCACCTGCAGGAGGGTACCCTGTCCTGCTTGCGTGCTTGTTTGTGCCCAGGCAGGCGCCATGAAGGCTGCCCAGTGCCCACCCCACCCACCTATTCCACAGCATGTAGACCCATCCCAGCACACCGCAACTGCAAAATAACACACCTAAGCAAAGATAGGCACACCTAACCACACCTAAGCAAAGATAAGCACACCTAAGCACAGCTAAGGACAGCTAAGCATGGCCAAGCACAGAAACGCGACATCTTGAGACCTTGGTGTTCCACCCACTGCCACGTGAGCAGGGACACACTTACAAGCTGCAAAAGCGCACACCAGCACACAAGCGGAGCTGAGTAGAAGGAGAAAGAGGTTGTGAAGCAACCACTAAGTGAGAAATGCACGTTCGCAAGGGCTAGGAGAAGAGGAGCGGCGAGCAGGGAAGACGAGAGGCGAGCAGAGAAGGCGAGAGGACACGAAAGGAGGACTTCGAGAGGTGAGCAGAGTGGCAATAACATCTGGCAAGACAGCAGCTAAGACACATGGCACTGTGGAAAAAGGAATCTCCCGTCACCATGCACAGCGCTGCTATTGCTGCCACTGCTTCCCCCGCAGCTGTTGGAACAGCAGCAATGGGACATGGAGTGGGGAGGAGACCAAGGCAACCAAGTAACAGGACAAAGAAAAAGGGGAGCATGAGTAAAATGAGGAGGAGGCAAGCAAAAACCATACGATGGAAGCATAGGGTAAGCTGTAAAGTGAAGCACGTGCAATGAACTGACGCAGAGGGATAAGCACAACGCAACACAAATGACAAAGAGGACGGGGGAGATAATACTAACCTTGAAAGTCAAAGCCCGGATGCTGCCTTTCCTCCCACCCGTTCCGCGTCCTCTCCATGCCAATCCTCTTCGACTCGCAGGCCGTGAGGCCCACGCATGCATGGGGAGAGATACACGCACACAGAAGCGGCACCAACCAAAAAGGGAAGGTTAAAAGGAGCAGGAGGCGAGTCGCGGAGGCAAAAGCAACAGACACGACTCTTGCCTCTGCGCGGCAACGCTCTACGACTCACTACACTCCCCCCCAGAAGCACCCCCTGGCGCGTACCACACTCTGTCCGCTGCTCTGCCACTCCTGCACCACGCCTTCTCTTCACACCTGCTACTCCAAGTTTCTCCAGGTTGCTCCGTTGCTCCGGCTGCCCATGCTCGCAGGCCGTGAGGCACACACACACACGCACGGGGAGAGAGAGGCACACACAGAAGGGGCACCAACAAGCGAGGGTTAGAAACAGCAGGAGGGGAGTGGCCGAGGCAAAAGCAAGAGACACGACACGAATCTTGCCTCTGCGCGGCGACGCCCTACGACTCACCAGACTGTCCCCTGCAATCACCCCCTGGCACGTACCATGCTCTGTCCGCCCACTCTGCCACGCCTTCCCTTCATGTGTGCTGCTCCAGGTTGCTCGGTTGCTGCCACTGCCCGTTTGTTGGCCGTCAGGCACACACACACATGAGAAGAGAGACACGCACACAGAAGCGGCACCAACCAACAAGGGATGGTTAGAAGGAGCAGGAGGCGAGTCGCGGAGCAAAAGCAAGAGACACGACTCTTGCCTCTGCGCGGCGACACCCTACGCTCACCATATTACCCCCTGCAAACACCCCCTGCACGTACCATGCTCTGTCCGCCGCTCTTAGCTCCTACGAGCCACGCCTTCACTTGAGGCGTGCTGCTCCAGGTTGCTCGGTTGCTGTCGCTGCCCGTGCTCGCAGGCTGTGAGGTGAGGCACACACACGCATGGGAGGAGAGGCAGCCACACAGAAGCGGCACCAACAACCAAGGGAGGGTTAGAAGGAGCAGGAGGCGAGTGGCGGAGGCAAAAGCAAGAGACACGACTCTTGCCTTTGAGCGGTGACGCCCTACGACTCACCGCACTGCCCCGCCGGCCACGCTCTGCGGTGGCAGAGCCATGCTGTGCGGTGAGCTGCGGTGCGCTGCGGTGCATTGTGGTGCCTTGCAGTGCGCTGCGGTGCCTTGCGACGCGCTGCGGTGCCGTGTGGTGCCTTGCGGTGGACTTCGGTGCCTTGCGGTGCGCTGCTGTGCCATGCGGTGAGCTGCGGTGCACTGTGGTGCCTTGCAGTACACTGCGGTGAGCTGCAGTGCGTTGCGGTGAGCTGCAGTGCGCTGCGGTGAGCTGCGGTGCGTTGCGGTGCTGTGCGGTGCCTTGTGGTGCACTGTTGTGCCATGCGGGCAGTGCGCTGCGGTGCACTGTGGTGCCTTGCAGTGCGCTGCGGTGCCCTGCGGTGGGTTGCACTGCCTTGCGGTGGGCAGCGGTGCCTTGCGGTTCGCTGCCGTGCCTTGCGGTGCGCTGCGGTGCCATGCAGTGCGCTGCGATGCAGAACTGACAGAACTGAAAGATTGTAGACATGACAGAAGTGCACACGAGAAAACAAGAGAAGGGTGAATGGAGAAGTGGTATACTAGACGGTCTCATCAACTCACTACTCCTTGTGTGCTCACCATCACCCTGCAGCTGCTGCAGGCACTGGTGATGCGTGAGTTCTTGCTACTCTGGGGAGAGGGGAAGAAGGATGGCAAGGATGTAGACAAGAGGCGGTCTGAGTAAGGCGAGGAGAAGCGATTACATGCGAGACTTTGGATGTGAAAGAGCACTGGCGTGAGCTGAATAGATGGCAGAGGGCAGCGGGCGACAGGACTGAGACGACAAGGAGCAAGCAACGCATGATGCATCCGCCCTGCTGGTGCGTCTTCAATCCCAGGTACCTCTTGCATTGGAAACGAAAGGAGCCTGTTGTCCCAACCGATCTGCAGGCAACCGTCCAAAGAGCAACCTGCCACACACTCGGGCTGAGAGGCACACTCACAGGCATGCACACACACAGACGCATGCACACACGCACACATGCACACAACCCCTCCCCCACACGCACACACGCACCTGCACATGCACATTCAGAGCAGCCAGTGGAAAGATTTCAGAGGAGAAAGCAATGTAATGCAGACAGATGTAATGCAGCGCGATGAGCGTTTGGCAACACACGAGGCGAAGCAAAGAGTACAGAGAAGAAAATACTTAAATGCGTCAAAGGAGCAGTCAAAGCTTCGTTCCTGCCCCTTCTCCTTGCTGGACGGTTGTCTCTGGTACGAACCGGCAATGGAAGCTCCGCCCATCGCCCCTCAACTCAGTGCGATCCCCTCCACCTCCCAGGCCGTGAGGCACACACACGCATGGGGAGAAGGGAGAGATACACAGCCACACAGGAGCGATGCAAGAGGATTAGAAGCAACGGGAGGCGTGTGATGGACCCGCAAGCAACAGACACGACTCTTGCCTCTGCGCGGCGACACGCTACGACTCACTTCACTGCCCCCCTGCAAGCATCCCCTGGCACATACCATGCTCCGCCCGCCACTCTCTCACTCCTGCGCACGCTTTCACTTGAGGCGTGCTGCTCCTGGTTGTCTCTCGTGAGCGCCAGCAATGGACGCTGCGTCCATTCCCGTCCGTCTCGCAGGCGGTGAGGCACAACACATGGGGAGAGGGGAGAGATACACAGCGACACAGAAGCAATGCAACAAGGGAGGGTTAGAAGGAGCAGGAGGCGTGTGGTGGACGCAAGGGCAACAGACACGACTCTTGCCTCTGCGCGGCGACGCCCTATGACTCACTTCACTGCCCCCCTGCAAGCACCCCCTGGCACGTACCATGCTCCGCCCGCCACTCTCCCACTCCTGCGCACGCTTTCACTTGAGACGTCCACGTGGTGCCATTGCTCTCCGTCTCGCAGGCCACGAGGCACACACACACGAGGGGAGAGAGACACACACACAGAAGCAGTGCAATATAGGAGGGTTAGAAGCAGCAGGTGGCGAGTGATGGACCTGCAAGCAACGGACACGACTCTTGCCTCTGCGCGGTGACGCTTTACGACTCACAACACTCCCCCCTGCAAGCAACCCCTCCCGCGTACCACACTGTGTCCGTTGCTCTGCCACTCCTGCACCACGCCTTCCCTTCATGTATGCTGCTCCAAGTTGCTCCAGGTTGCTCCGTTGCTCCGGCTGCCCATGCTCGCAGGCCGTGAGGCACACACACACACGCACGGGGCGAGAGACACGGACACAGAAGCGGCACCAACAAGGGAGGGGTAAAAACAGCTGTAGGAGAGTGGCGCAGGCAAAAGCAAGAGACACGACTCATGCCTCTGCGCGGCGACGCTCTACGACTCACTACACCCCCCCCCCCCAGCCGTCTCGTTCTTACGTACCGTTGTGGATCGTCAACGATCTCCAGGCAAATGCTTGTGAGCTTTGAAAGAACGCTTGCGATTTTCAGAATGGCTGCAGCAACCTCCTTTGTACGCTGGAGCGATGGCACAGGGAGAGGGGGGAGAACAGGTAAGGACAGGGAGAGAGTGAGAACACAGATGTTAGTGGATGGGTAATCTCCCATACGAAGGGAAGAAAGAAAGCGGCGAGACTCTCTAGGCATTCCTATCCTATACTGCTACGTGTTCCCCCCCCCCAGCCTTCGCTAATAAGTACCGTTGAAATAGAAGGGAACCCATGCGAAATCTTTGACCTCTACCGATTCTTCACTGGTGTCTGGTGCGATCTCGTTCGGACGCTGCACCGATGGCGCTGGATCGAATCCCGAGCCTCCGATTAGTAATCGCACACATGCAGAGGGGGAACGAGGCGAACGCGGGGAGAGGGACAACAGACGCGTTAGTGGTAGGGTAGATTCACACATGACGCAAAGAAGGAAAGTGACGAGACTCGCTAGGCGGTGCAGTCCTAGACGCCTACATGAATCCCCTCATCAAACCGTCCCGCTTACGTACCTATAATCTTTCATTTCATTGATCGCGTGCGAGATTTAAGGTAACGCCTGCGACGTTTGGCGAAACTTCACATGCGGTGTCTGCTGCGACCTCGTTCGGACGCTGCACCGATGGCGCCGGCTCGAATTCCGTGGCTCGGACGCGCACATGCAGGGGGGAGAACGAGGAGGAGAACAGGGGAGAAAGACGGTAAACGCGTTAGTGGGAGGGTGATTACGCACATGACGCGACGAAGGAGAGCGACGAGACTCTCTAGGCGTTCCTTTCCTAGACGCTTACAGGAATCCCCCCCCAACACCCTTCGCTCTTACGTACCGTTTATCGTCCTCTGATCGCCAACGATCTCCTAAGGAACGCTTGCGAGCTTCAAACAGTGTTTGGCGCAACCCTTAGCCGGACGCTAATACGACCCGAATCCCGCGCCTCCGATTTAATTGCACAAATGCAAATGGGAGAACGAGGAGGACAGGAGGAGAGGGACGGTACACGCGTTAGCGGAAGGGTATCATTGAACATGACTCGAACGGGGAAAGCGACGAGACTCTCTAGGCGTTCCTCTCCTAGACGCCTATATGATTCCCCCCACCAGCCTTCGCTATTACGTACCATGAATGATCCTTCATTGTTCACGACCGAAATCCAAGGGAACGCCGAGGAACTCGATGCGAACAAACGCGATCCTCAAGGCGAACGGCCGAGAACAATCTCCCGCGAACTGCGTCACGCTGCTTCGGAACGTGTTTTGCGAGGTCTTGAACTTGACGCATCGAAACGTCCACCTCTTGACGGCCAGAAATCGGAATGAAAAAGCGCTGCTTGCGATGCTGGTCGGCGAACACTCCTGCCGTTTGCGAACAGCTGTGTACGCTGCTTCCCGCTATTCGTACTCCGAGAAAGGCTGCGTTGTTCCCGCGGCTGGGTGTGCGAGCAATCTCGACGGCCGATTGTCGGTTCCGTCCGGTTGGAGGCTGTCGTCGATGCTGCTCCTGCCGCTTCCAGTCTCACGGGGGTTGAAAAACGTTTGCTTCACACTGCCAGTTTCGACGGTGGAGCTAATACTCCGTCACTCGGGCTGGAGGATGCATAACTTGGCTCTATTCCAAGACTTGCTGGAACAACCGCCTCCCGTCGCACGAGCCTTTCATGATTCGAAAGACCATCTCCGGTACACGTCAGCTGTTGCGTCATGTCGTCTTGTCGCCGCGTCACTCCACTCTAAAGTTTAGCAGGTCGCTGGAGGGCAAGCAGAGGTAGACGGGAACCCGAAAAGGTGCACTACACAGCTACCTCTAGAGCTGTGATTTGTTGCTGTGGGACGTATCCGTAGCAAAGCTTTTCGCGAACCGTCGTAACCGTCGTACAGCAGCGTGCGATGGTGCATCAGGGAGAAATCATTCTCATAATGAACTGTATCAACGCTGAGCCTAGCCGAATCTACAGTAGCGCGAGCAGCAATTGGTCGTTTCTTCTGAAAATCACCCCTCGCCAAATGAAGTTGACAATAAGAGCTTTGTTATAGAGCTTAATGTATAACAGTAACAGATAGAGTAACGGCTTAATGAGCCGTGGACTAGTAACAGATAGAACGAGTACAAGAACCACATGCTATAGACAAATTGAAATACCCGGCTACTAATAGTAACTCTTTTGGTCTAATCAGCTCGAACCGTAGCCGTACTGCTGCAGAAGCTAAGAGACCTAAGTCGGGAACATGGAGGACTAATCTTCCGAGGAGAGCTAGTACCAGGTGCAGTGACTCGCATTCTGACTACTGACCAGAGAAGGGAGGAAAGCCTTCGGATTGGAAATTGGGAATGCTTTGGGAGTTCCGCCGCTGGGGAAAGCAAAGCTGCCGCCGTGTGACGGTAAGGGAATGGCATTCAGCTCGGCTGGCCCGCGCTTCGTTGGTGTGGAAGCCTTCTGTCATGCTCGTGAGCTGATTGGACAGAAATTGCGCGCCAAAAGTGTCGCAGTTTGAAAGCTTTCAGCGGTTTCTCGCTGTAACGTGGCTCGGTACGGTATCGCACGCGATACCTCTTTCTCGATTTGTGAAAGACATCAAATTCACCATTCGAACACATTAGAACATTACCATAGAGAAATGGGATGTTGAAAGGACAAGAGAAATACATCGGTAATAATTTATGGTTCGCCATCATCCAGGAATACCTACACATTTTCAAGCAAGCGTCATTTATACATTTCTGAAATTCTAGAAACATCCGGAGGAGGTCCATGAAACATTTACGGCATATAGTGGTGGCAATGTGGTGGCCACATGCTGGTAAAGCTTTGCCAAACGATTAAAATTATCCAGCAATCACTTGGCTTTCCGCCGGAGCTCATACAGGTACCCCAGAACAAGAACTCCAGCAGTGACAACAGCACCAAACGCACTTTGGGCCAAGATGGTGGATGCACTAACAGTCTCCTTGGCTGCAGCATCAGCTTCCCAGAACGCTGGAGAGGTATCCTTGCACCCAAGCTCAGACATTTTCTTGTGTGCAGATGTGTAGTCCCTAAAAAACGCCTCCTCATCCTGCAAATAGCAACAGAAGGCAAAATGGACCCATAAGTACTTCTGCACCCTCCAACCCAACTCTAGGAACAATCACAATTGCCTCTATTGCTTACCTTTGCATACAACTCAACGAATGGACGAAACTTGGGGTCCTCTACGAGGCACTTGTCCGTGGGAAGCTGGAGTAGTCCTGTAGCGTCTCCTTTCAAGAGCTCACTGTTGCAGGGGCACAGGAAAAGGTATGCCAACACAGACTGCCTGAGTAAGACACGCTTCTGACACAACAAAAACATACTCTGTCTCAGTTTTTGAACTCACATGTAGTAGGTGTTGTCAAATTTCAGTGGTTGCTGCGTCCATGCCCCCTCAAAGCCAGAACGATCCTTATGTGCACGCCCCTGCATCCACATTCAGAATTTAATTACACAATGCCTCGTGCGTTTGCAGGAATGTGAGTTTAAGCGGTGGCTTACCAAAGTGTGTGATCCACTCAATGCCACAATGTCTTGATCGCTGAACCCCATGCGGCAGAATATATCTCGTAGATGAGCAGATCCTGAAACGGAAGGGCGGCATTGGAAAAGATGACTCACATGCTCACACAAACAATCACGAAGCCCCCAATACCACAAAGTGAAGTTCACGAATACTAGGTGTGGACAGTTCGCCTGAATTCACGCACCTTTATGAGCATCTGGCAGCCTGCCGTCAGGAGTAACAGCCAGGGAGTCCTGCCCAACCAGCGCCCGGACAGCCAGAGAATGAGCTGTGAGCACAAGAAAACACACAGAAAGAAAACTATGGAGGCGTGTGCTTGAGCTCACCTTTCGGCCGGGCTTGAGAGGGATGGTAGGACCTCCAGTTACTTCAACAGCTACTACGCCAGCTAGCTGCTCAATCAAGACGGCAGTGAGTTAAAATGCCAGAAGAAGGTTGATAACAGGTTAAATGCGCACAAAACACAAGGTGGGAACCAAGATTGCACCTGGTAGATGTCAGCGTATGATACTCGTGGATGTTTCGCCTTGACCGGCTCTGCAGACAGGAAACACTGCAATGAGTGCTTATCCGTTACCAGCCCTGTGAATTGCGAAAATGACATGTAAGCTCACCAAGCAGGTCGATGCCTATCTTCATCCCCGCGTTTCCGCCATGAGTGTATTCCAGCTCGCTTCTTATCGAAGCATTTGGTCCGCCGCTTCTCGTCTTCGCGTCATAAGTGCCAGCATCATGAAACCTAAAATCAATTCACACGCGCAGGAACAAAACACAATCGCATTGCTGTCTCTCGTAATCATCGATAGACCGTTTAAAACAGATTCGACGAAGTCCAGTGTCTTACGCCAAGCGGAGCATAAGCGGGGCGCAGCTCTTTTCTGCGATTAGCGATCGCAAGTCTCGCCTGACCGCCTCAATCTCCTTCAAGTAATCCGCGTCAACCGTAGGGGCCTGCATGATTCCTTCTTCACAGATGTCAGCCTACTAGCAAGCCAACCTGACCCTGCCGAAGAAACGACAAGCTCTGACGGAATACGGAACGCGAGACGGTCAGACAACACGGTGACGGTGACTTTATGGAGGAGAAGGAAGCAACATGAAGTATATTACTGGCAGAAATGTTGGCTGAAGAATTTGGGAACAATTGTGAGAGAGGTTATGCGAAAGCAGTGACGCTGATTGGCTGAGAAAGTGAAGGTCGAAGAAGAACTGGGGGAAACAGGGGCCAAGCAGGGGCAGTGCGTGGACCCAAGCAGACGAAACCTTGAAGTTGGCCAGCTCATGAACGAGGGGATGCTGGCGTGGCACGGGCCACGTACGCCAGCGAAGTGGTCCCTCCATTCCCCTCAAAATTATTTGCCGTACGCGTTTGAAGTCCAGCTGCTGAAGTTAGCTAGCTACTAACACATACAAGAAAGGGCTCTACCATTCTATGCAATCCCAATGGGTGACCAGCAAAAATGGCGACCTTCATCTAATGAATCCAATGCATCCATCTTTTCCTTGTCCAATGAGAAATTGAATATGTCAGCGTTCTCTGCGATCCGGCTTGCGCTCACAGACTTGGGTATTGTAACTGGCCATGAATATGACAAGGACGGCAGGGAGAGGGGGGTTGTATTGGACAGTCAATGTGCAGCAAAATTAACTGTCAGATAATGGATGGAACGAGAAGCACCAAGCAGTTTGAAACGCATTGACAACACGAAACATACCCATTCCATGCTGTAGGCTCCACCTGAGCAGCACTTGAGCAGCTGACTGCTCAACTTCCTTGGCCACTTGTTGCACAGTTGGTTGCTGTAACAGCTGAGAACATACACGAATAAAATATAGCAAAAACAGATAGTTCACCGGAGTATGTGCCACATATGCTTGACGTGATCCTAAGCACCTCGAGTGAGTAAGACATTGAGCAGCAACTTGCAAACGCACATTTGCTTGAGCAGCTGATTGCAATAGGTAAGCAATCTGCTCTTGCATGGTACCTACAGTGCATCCAAACTGCACATTTCCACACAAATGCCACCACTTGTCACCACACCACAGAGGTGCAGACGCTGCCACACAGCTCAAACGCCAACCACCTGGCAGCAACAGAAACTCACCTGGTAGCAACAGAGACCCACCTGGCAGCAACAGAAACTCACCTGGTAGCAACAGAGACCCACCTGATAACAACAGAGACTCACCTGGCCACACCCCAGGGGTGAGTAAGCTGCCACACAAATACCACGCTCAGCACAGTAGACTCGCAGCGACCGCTGAGTCAGCAGCGGGTGCACCTCCACCTGGTTGACAGCTGGCAGGGTGGCAGAGTTTGTCATCAAGTGGTCGAGATGGGCGGCAGTGAAGTTGCTGACTCCAATGGCGAGGCATTTACCTGGAAGAGGAGGGAAGGCACGTGTTATGTAAATTCTGGAAAAGCCCATAACGTGCTAAGAAAAATAATAATTATAAAAACCGTCCCAGCCCCTCTACCCCTCTCCACCCCCTTCTACCCCCGTCTCCACTACACCCCTCCACTCCCCTTTGCTCCTCCCTCTCGCCCCACCTTCCCTCTGAAGTTGCTCCAGAGCGCGCCAAGACTCCAGGCGAATCTCTGCATTCTTCTCAGACGCCCTGGGAAGACAGGTGGCGGGGAGCCGTGTGGGAGGAAGGTCAATGGGGGGTAACAGAGTCCTGAGACGCCTCAATACAGTAAGGTTCGAGGGTACAAGCGGAAACAAAGAGCAGGGAGAGCAGGAACGACAGAGGAGGGCAAGTGGAGTAAGAAGGGGTTGATTACTCACCTATCTAGCTTTGCCACTCCGGGCCTGGGGATAAGGGGAGGGGAGAGGGGAGAGAGGAGAGGGGAGAGGGGAGAGGGGAGAGGGGAGAGGGGAGAGGGGAGAGGGGAGAGGGGAGAGAACAGGAGCGGAGAGGAGGGAGGAGGGAAGAGTGAGGAGAGAGGAGAGAGAGAGGAGAGCAGGGAGGGAGGAGCGAGGAGGGAGAGGAGAATGGCAGTGAACACAGGGGTGCACTGACAGATGAAGTGATCTGAGTTGGGAAGGTAAGTGGTCAACGGGCAGAGTAAAACGAGGGTAAGAAAAGACTAGGGAAAAGAGGGCAAGGATGAGGGATGAGGGCGAGGATTCAGGGCGAGGGCAGGTGAGGGGTACGCACCAGTGCAGCAGGTAGAGGTCCTAAGAAGGGACGAGGGGCGGGAGGGTTGTCAATGCACATGGAGGGAGGGTGAGTGAGGGAGGGAGGAGAGTAATGGGAGCAGGAGTGGGAGGGATTCACTGTCCCTCCCACTTCCATAATCACACTTGATAGGGAGAGTGCGAGCGGTGGAGTGGAGCAAGAGAAAGGAGGTGGGCACCGTAAGCATCTCACACACGCACTTCCATAATCACACTTGACCTCTCACATGCACACTCTCTCACTCACTCACACACTCTTGCACCATGAGACTCTCTAGCTCACTCTGCACTCACCAGGTAGTCTGTTTGCAGGCGCTCCAAGGACGCCGCACATGCGCACACTCACTCACTCACTCAAACTCATGCGCGCCACCTTACTCCTACACTCTCTTTCTCACTCACTCACTCAAACTCAGTGCGCGTCACCTTACTCCTTCACTCTCTTTCTCACTCACTCACTCACTCAAACTCATGCGCATCACCTTAATCCTACACTCTCTTTCTCACTCACTCACTCAAACTCATGCGCGTCACCTTACTCCTACACTCTCTTTCTCACTCACTCACTCAAACTCATGCGCGTCACCTTACACCTACACTCTCTTTCTCACTCACTCACTCACTCAAACTCATGCGCGTCACCTTACTCCTACACTCTCTTTCTCACTCACTCACTCACTCAAACTCATGCGCGTCACCTTACTCCTACACTCTCTTTCTCACTCACTCACTCACTCACTCAAACTCATGCACGTCACCTTATTCCTACATTCTCTTTCTCACTCACTCACTCACTCAAACTCATGCGCGCCACCTTACTCCTACACTCTCTTTCTCACTCACTCACTCACTCAAACTCATGCGCGCCACCTTACTCCTACACTCTCTTTCTCACTCACTCGACGCACACTCACCAGGTAGTCTGTTTGCAGGCGCTCCAAGGACGCCGCACATGCCGCTAGAGCCTGCTGGAAACTGGTGTGAGGGAGGGAGAGGGAGAGTGAGTGAGTGAGCCAGTGAGAGAGCGAGTGGGTGAGAGCAGGCTGTAAGGGAGGTGCTGCACAAGCATGCACCAAGATATGCAGTCCACATGTATGCACTGACGTGCACAATCACATGCGCAGTCCACGCTCTAGGCGTGTGATTGAGCACATACACATGTATGCACTGACGTGCACATTCCTACACACAGCATGACCCTCACCCATGCTCGTAAGGCGAAGCTTTGGAGGTGATAAAAACCTCCTCCCTTGCAATGCCGTACTCTCTAATGGCCTCCCCGACTTCCGCTTCGTTCTTGTACACTGATGCAGTGTCTGCATTAAAAGAATATATAACAGCCTTTAGATGAAACGAATGGGGTGATACAGCGAGCAAAATATCGGGCGGGCCACCCATGGGCTCACCTATGTGCCTGTATCCCGCTGCCAGTGCTGCTTTGACTGCCTCCTTCACCTCCCCACCTTTGGCCTTAAATGTGCCCACTGGAAGCACGTGCACACATGCATGCACATGCACGCACAGACAGAAGAGCGCAAGGGGGGAAGGGGGGAAGGCAGAATGGGGGAAGGGGGAAGAGGGGAAGGGCAGAATGGGGGAAGGGGGGAAGGGCGGAACGGGGGAATGGGGGAAGGGCAGATGGGGGGAAGGGGGGATGGGGGGAAGGCGGAAGGGGGGAATGAATGGAAGGACGAGGAAAGGGGAAGGTGCAGGCAATACGGAGGAATGGGGCATGGAACAGGGGGGAGGCGGAAGAGTAAGGAATAAAGAGTCGTAAGGAGGAAAGAGGAGGATTGGAGAGGGAAAAGGCGGAAGGGGGAGGATGGAATAGGGGGAAAGCAGAGGATTGAATAGGGGAAGGGCGGAGGATTAAATAGGGGAAGGGTGCACAGGCGAGGCGGGGAATGGAGGTGCCGTTGGCGAGGCGGATGTGCGACGTCAAATCCATGGCGCTGCGCTGATGGCTTGGAATTCAAGGCGCCTGGAGGTGAGCGCGCGAGCAGTTGAAGCGAGCACTGGCGTGTGCGGCGAGTGCAACTGTCCGGAACGTTACAGCGTGTGCGAGCGCGAAGTGGCGAAGCGCGAAGGCGAGTGCAAAGCGCGAAGGCGAGTGCAAAGTGCGAAGGAGCGCGCGCCTCAATGCAACGCGAGCGGCCAGAGAGCTTCCTCTTTGCGCTCGTGTGCAAGCGCGGTCACAAGTGTGTAAGGACAATGGGGGTCTGTACCCAGAGCCCCGAACATTGGATGAGTTTCCAGCAAGATGCTAAGCTGGGTGAAATAGGGAGCGTAGGGCGGACTGATACAGGGTCGTGCAATCAAATGCGCTCATGGAATGTTGCGGGGAGTTGCGCTGTTAACTCTGCCGCGAACAAAAAACAAAGCCCATAGAGAAAAACATTTATTAGGGGAGCTCCGAGAATCGAACTCGGGACCTCTCGCACCCGAAGCGAGAATCATACCACTAGACCAAGCACCCATGGATTTTGAACATCTTGTCACATTTGGAGCAAATACAATTACAAATCATACCATTACCTTCGCTTGACGGGACAGCAACAGCCATGAAGCGGCAGCAGGCAACCATCTCTCGCTTCTTCGCGCGCAAGCCGTCCCCAGCGCAACCAACCCCGCTTCCCACCTCCCCCTCCCACACCCCGTCCCCATCACAGCCGCCAGTCGCCGTCCGCGTCACCACTCCGTCCTCCCTCCTCCGCCCGCCGCGCGCCTCCCCCGCCGCCGGCGGCGGCGGTTTCGGTAGTAGCCGTGGTGGTGGCGGTGTCAATAGCGGATTGGTGAAGGAGATCGGATCGGCGGAAGCGGAAACTGAGAATGGGGGAGCCGCGGGGCCTCGTGGGGAGGATCGGGGGTGGCGGAGAACAGGAAGCGGGGAAGAACCGGGGGGGAGTGGGGGCGGAAAGGAAGGTGTGGCGGAGGGGAAGGCGGAGGGGAAGGGGGATGAGCTAGAAGCGGAGGGGGAAGGCGGAGGAGTTGTGTTCAAGCGTAAGCGGGCGGGGGGAAGGCGGGCAGCGCGGAGATTAGTGGCGGATGGAGGGGCGGATGAGGGGGATGGGGGAGAAGAAGAAGAAATGGGGGCACCGATGGGGGAGGACGAGTGGGGGGAAGGAGAGAGGCGGAGAAAGAGGGGAAGGGGGGAAATTGAAGGGGAGGATGAGGTGGGGGCAGGGGCAGGGGGAGGGACATGGGAGGATGTAACTGAAAAGGGGAGAACGGAATTGGCGGAAGGAGAAAGGGGCAAGACCCTTGTAGCAGCACCTGCTGCCCATGCTGCTGCTGCTGCTGCTGCTCCCACAGCCACCTCTGCCGCCCCACTCTCGGCAATTCGAGCCAGCTTTCTCAAAAGGCTTGACTCCCATCCTTCCGAGAGAGTTGTTTCTCATCCTTCCGCTCCACACCCCGCACCCACTACCACCACCAAAGAGGGTAGCGATTTCATCCCCGGTATAAGCCTGCCCCTTCCAGGCACAAAGCTCACCCCGTTAGAAGAGCAGGTCGTGGCGCTGAAACGCCTCCACCCGGACGTTTTGCTATTGGTCGAGGTCGGCTACAAGTTCCGGTTTTTCGGGGCCGATGCTGACGTGGCGGCGCGGGTTCTCGGCATCTACTGCCACGTGGACAGGGCTTTCCTGACGGCGTCGATCCCCACGTTCCGCCTGCACGTGCACGTGAGGCGGCTCGTGGAGGCGGGCTTTAAGGTGGGCGTGGTGCGGCAGAGCGAGACGGCGGCCATTAAAGCCCACGGGAGCAACAAGGCCGGCCCGTTCGGGCGGCATCTGTCGGCTTTATACACGCGGGCAACGTTGGAAGCGGGGGAGGATCTGGGAGGGGAAGGAGGGGAGGGAGGGGAAGGGGGAGTGGGTGAAGGGGCCGGGAATGGGGGAGGGGGAGGGGGGATGGGGGGACGGCTGAGTAGTTACCTGGTGTGTATAGCAGAGGAGAGTGTTGGGGAGGGAGGGAAGGGGAAGAGGGAAGGAGGGAAGGGAGATGCTGGTGGTAGCACTGCTGCTGCTGCTTCCTCTCCCGGCTTCTCCCCATCAACCACGGATCTGGACTCGTCTCAAGGCTGGGAAACAGGCTCGGCAGCAGGCATGGGAGCAGGCTCGGGAGCAGGCTCGAGAGCAGGTTCGGAGGGCGATGTGCGGATAGGGCTGGTGGCGGTGGAGACGTCAACAGGGGACGTGGCACAGGGGTGCTTCACTGATGGTGTGCTGCGGGGAGAGCTGGAGACCCACCTCGCTCACTTCGCCCCCACTGAGATCGTTCTTACTGGAACCATTACGCCAGCCACTCACAAGGTGAGGTGTGTTTTGAGTCGACTTAACGGGTGACGTGGCACAGGGGTGCTTCACTGATGGCGTGCTGCGGGGAGAGCTGGAGACCCACCTCGCTCACTTCGCCCCCACTGAGATTGTCCTTACTGGAACCATCTCGCCAGCCATGCACAAGGTGAGTTCTCTCTGCCCTCCCTGCTATCAGTGCTTCAGAAGAGTTCGCTCCCCCTTCCCCCTTCTGTGTTTCCCCGTTTCCGTCCTGCCCTCCCCCCTTGACTTTCACCTCTTCCCCCTACCGCCTCCCCTCTCCCCGTTTCCCTCGTCCCCCGTCAACCCCATCCCCTCCGCCATCCCCCCCCCCACCCTGACCCTCCCCGCTCCCACCATCAGCTCCTCTCATACCTTGCGTGCCGAGACCCCGCACCAAGAGTCACCACGGCAGGGGGTGATGGGATCACTGCTGCTGCCGTGGTTGGGGGAGGCCCTGGGAAGGCTGGGGGCGGTGGCGGCAGGAGCAGCAGCAGAGGCAGCGGCAGCAGCATGTGTGGGGTGCGTGCAGCTCTTGCAGAGTTCTTTGCGACGATGCCAAACGGGGCTGCTTGTACTGAGGACGCAGGCAAGGGGCATGAGGATGGGAATGGAGAGAGGAAGAAGGAGAGGGAGGAGCAGCAGGAGAGGGAGCGTCAACAGGATGAGCAGCTGCAAGAGGTAGACCCAGCAGTGGAGGCGGTGCTCTCCATGCCACCAGTGCTGCTCAGAGCGCTCGCTGCTGCTGTGGACTATCTGAGGGAGTTCAACCTCCACCACGTGCTCGCTCTGGGCGGCGGCTTTCGTCCTCTCTGCACCGGCCACCAGATGACTCTCTCCTCCAATGCTCTCGAGCAGCTCGAGGTGAGCCTTAAAGCCCCTTAAAGCCCCCTTTTAGATATTCTCAGAAACACTTACCCACCTGGACCATAGGCGCGCGCATGGACAAAGGCGTGCGCGTGGACCAAGGCGTGTGCGTGGACAAAGGCGTGCGCGTGGACCAAGGCGTGCGCGTGGACCAAGGCGTGCGCGTGGACCAAGGCGTGCGCGTGGACCAAGGCGCACGCGTAAACCAGAGCGCGCGCGTGGACCAAGGCGTGCGCGTGGACCAAGGCGCGCGCGTGGACCAAGGCGCGCGCGTGGACCAAGGCGCGCCCCGCTATTGACTACTCCTTTCCCCCCTCCCCACCCTCCTCCCCGTTTTCGCCCTGGACGTCACAGATCATGCACAATAGTGCAGACGGCAGCACACGCGGATCCCTCCTCTGGCTGCTCAACCACACGCTCACAGCGGCAGGGGGACGACTCATGCGCCACTGGGTCACCCACCCCCTCACGCACCTCCCCCACATCACCCTCCGCCAAGAGGCCGTCGCAGAGCTCCTATCATCCTCCCCCTCGCTCTCCTCCCCCTTGACCGGCGTGTCTCGTACGTTTCCTGGGAGTGGGCGCGGAGGGGGAGCGGTAGGGGCGGCGAGCAGAGGGGCGGGTGGGGAGGGGGAGGGGGGAGTGGGGGAGGTGGTGCGGGGAGTGCTGGGATCACTGGCTCGGGTAGGGGATGTTGAGAGGGGAGTCACGCGGATACTGCACAAGACTGCCACTCCCAACGAGGTGAGAGTGTGAGGGGCGTGCCGGGGCGTGAGGCGTGCTGGGTTCATAAGTTTAAAAGAACAAGGCAGTTTGAATTGAAGCAGGAAGCAAAGCACCCTAATTCCCGTGTCTGCTATGCACAAGGCTTCTCCATCACCCACCCCCTTTATCGTCCCCCCTGCACATGCCCCTCAGTTCGTGCGAGTGCTCTCAGCCCTGGCGTCTGCAGCACAGCAGCTGCGCTCCCTTCTCCCTGACCCCCCTTATACCACCACCGCCAGCACCACCGCCAGCACTGCTGCTGATACTGACCCTGACAGCAGCAACGATACTCCTAAGGTGAAGTCGGCCCTGCTGCAGAGACTGCTGCGGGCAGCAGCGTCGCCAGCTGTGGTGCGCCACGCCCGGCGCATGTTGAGTGCTGTGAACGCTGATGCTGCAGCCCGTGGCGACAAGGTGAACCTCATTGTGTGCGCGGCCCCATCCCACCATAGTCAGCAACAGCAAGAGCGTAAGCAATATGACAGCAATCACCACGTTCGAGGCGTCCTGGATGACAAAGGAGAAGAAGCAGTGGAGCCTTCCCTGCAGTTTCCAGAGCTCTGGACATGCAGAGAAGCAGTGTGTGAGGCAGAGGGGCAGCTCAACTCGCTCCTCCCGGCCATCCGGTCCCAACTGCGTCTCCCCTCCCTCTCCTTCTTCTCCGTTTCCGGTGCCACTCACCTCATCGAAGTCCCCTCAGCCCTCCGAGTCCCCTCTGATTGGCTCAAGCACAGCGCTGTCAAGGCCGGCAAGGCCGGAGGCGTTACACGTTACCACCCGCCAGCTGTCCTCGCGGGATTGGACAGGCTGGCGCTGGCAAAGGAAGCTGCGGCGGCGGCAGCAGGGAGGGCTTGGCAGGAGCTGTTGGAAGGGTTCAGGACAGAGGGAGGGGGGCATGTGGAGCTAAGGCAAGCTGTTAAGGCATTTGCTGAGCTGGACTGTTTGTGTGCGCTTGCTGCTGTTTCTGCTTCTAAGGGGTATGTTCGGCCGGAGTTTTTTCCCGAAGATGGGCCCCAGAATGTGCTTATAGCGAATGGGAGGCACCCTGTGCTGGATGTGACTATGGGGAGCGAGTTTGTGCCGAATGACACTATGCTGATGTCGGATGGGGAAAGGTGTCATGTCATCACTGGTCCCAACATGGGTGGCAAGAGCTGTTACATCCGCCAGGTGGCGCTGATATGCATCATGGCTCAGATCGGGTGTTACGTGCCTGCTGACTCAGCGCGCCTCCACGTATTGGACTCGGTTCTGACGCGCATGGGAGCGGCCAATGACAGCCTGGTGCGCCGCACGTCCACGTTCTTGGAGGAGCTTGGGGAAGCTTCTGGGATCCTTCATCGGGCAACGGGTCGGTCGTTGGTGATAGTGGATGAGCTGGGTCGCGGCACCAGTACGCATGATGGGGTTGCCATCGCTTATGCCACCCTGCATGTAAGCCCGTCCCATCCATCCCGTGTGTGAGCTTATCTAGTGTTCTTGTCAAAGTGTTCTCGGCACGTTATGAAATCTCCTCCATGCCTTGTCTGATGCTTTTCTAAGCCACGCTCTGTTATCCATTGAATCCCCCACTGCCCCTCCACTCTCCCCCTCTGCCCTATCCACAGTACCTTTTATCCAAAGTGCGCTGCCTCACACTCTTCGTCACACACTATCCCGAAATCGCTCAGCTGGAAAAGGAGCTTCCTGGAGCGATGGGTAGCTTCCACATGTCCTTCCTCGCCTCCACTCCACCAGTTCCCCCTCCATCATCAGCATTACCAATTTCTGCTAGCGGACAAAAACAATTGTCAGATCCTGTGGCATCTGGCTCAGAAGAGGAAAGAGAGGCGAAGCCGGACCAGCAGGTCACCTTCTTGTACAAGCTCGTCCGTGGGGTTGCCAGTCGCAGTTTTGGCCTGAATGTAGCCCGCCTTGCTCAGGTGATAATTGCTGACGCGCAAGCAGGTTCATACATGGGTTTCTGCTGTGTAATTGTCCTTTTATTCCACGACCTCTTCTCATGGCCTTGGTAATGTGTGTGCAGGTGCCTGAGAGCGTCGTGCAACGAGCAGCTGCCATGGCTGCAAAGCTAGAGCATGATGTGCTGGAGCGCGGAAAGAGCAGGAAAAGCGAGGCTGCTTCCTTAAGGAGAGCCCGTGGAGACTTTTCTTCCCAATCAGTTCCTCCTCCAGATGAGGGAATCACCAAAGAGCCAAAGCTTCATGAAGCAGCCTGTCCAGAAACTGGAGTTGATCACCATGAAAACAGTCTCCAAGGGGAAGAGGAGTTGCTGAACACTGTCAAGCGGTGTATACTATTTGTTCAGGACGTTCAAGCAAGGGACACTGCACAGGAGGAGTCCATCATGCGGTTGCACTTTGATCAGATTCGTCAACTCCTGGAGTCTATTCGAAGGATAGAGCATTTTCGTACTGACATGTATTAGATGCGTTCGTCTTTTATGAGTTGGCGCTGGTTATTAATAATTCTGTAAGTATTGGTACAAGTAAGCAAGTTGAATAATCAAACGCACATGGAAGGATGATATGTTTAATTTTACAAGTCAGAAATGTCAGAAATTGTTGAGCCTTTCAAGGATCTCGTAGGTATCTTCGCTTCACATGGTTCCACCTAAGCTTCAGCTTCTAGGCAGACCTTCTTGGCGCCTGTCTCGTCCTCCGACGCCTCAGCCTTCCTTTTGGTCGAGATGGTGGCAGTCGTTTCGGTAGTGGAAGGGACCGCATCCGCAGAAGCAGCCACTTCAGAGTCCTTTTCAGCCTCGACTTCAACAACGTCACTGTCAGGTGTCGTCTCGTCATCCTTCTTCTCCTTGTCCTGGTCCGCGTTTGCGGAGGGCTTGACGTCCGTCGACGATTTTTCCTTTACCGAGTTCTTTGTTTCCTGCAGAAGTAGAGTCGTTGTTAACATCATTCTCGGGGTGAGACCAAATATAGCTTTCAAGTCGTGCTGAAAATCGAAGTACCTCTGAAGTCTTCTCAGTAGATTCAACAGCATCGACCTGCTTCTCCTCGACCTGCTGTGAAACAGCCTGATCGTTAACTTCGTTGTTGGAGCCGGCCATGGTCGCTGGTACGAAAATGTAGTGCTACGCACAGATTCTTGGCAGGCAAAGGCAACGTCTGAGCAGATGAGAGCTGGACTTGGTGATTGCGAGAGCGACTGACTGATCGGTTCCAACCATTCTCACATTTGTACTTGGCAGGGACTGGCAGTGGGCCATCACAAGCCGAAGCGCGGCGCTTGGGGGCTGTCGCGGAATCACCGGCGGGGACAGCGCTGGGCCTTGGGATTGCACTTGGGTTCGACGAGAATGGAGTTCTCGAGCCGCTTGATCATCTTGGGATTACTAATTGTGGAGCGCCAATTTCAAGGGAATTTGAAAACGTCACGAGAAATACATGACAAATTATGCGATGTTCTGTAGACGGTACATTTTCTAATTACAATAACTAATTGAAATCATCACAGTGATTCGGGGGCTAACTATGAAACCATCCTTGATATGTAAAGTAGGCCCATTCTATAGGATCAGTTGCCAATTTTACCCTAATTACTTCCAGCATTCTGGAATAAACAGGAAGAACTGCTTACAATTCCCTATCCTTCCACACAAGCTTGGCAGCTACAAGGTCTTCTAGGGCCAATCCTACCGACTTGAACACAGTAATTTTCTCATTAGCTCTCCTCCCGTGCACACGTCCAGAACATAGCTCGAAGAGGTCTCCTCCAATGTCCTCCACCAGTATAGCACCACTAGAGATAGGCTCAATAAGGTCCCCAGATCCTGTGATGGCGTCACCATCCTTGGAATCCACAAATATCGACCCTCTAGCTGCAATCATCACATCATCATCCGCTTCGCGCATATCCGGCCGAAAACCGCCAACCAAATCCACATGGGCTCCACGCTTCAACCACCGTCCACACACAAGCGGTTCTGTTGCAAGCGTGGCACAGGAGATAATATCCGCCAATGGCACCGCACGCTCTAGATCACCCACAACCGTAACACACACCCCACCTGTTTCTTGCCCTTCCAAAAAGCCCGACAAGGAAACTCCCTCCGGCTCAATAAGACGAAACCTTGGGTCGGAGGAGACCAGATTCTCAGCTGTCTGCTGGGCCTTGGTGAGAGTGCGGCCCCAGAGGAGCACGGAGCGGAGGGAGGGAGTGGCTGAGAGGTGGGCGAGGATGAGGTGGGGAGCAAGGTTGCCCATGCCCACCATAAGAAGCACCGTTGAGTCCTGGCTGCAGGGAGGTTAGCAATTGGGAGAGTGAGGAGGGGGAGCAGGGGGGGAATGCATCGGTGAAAACTGCTGCAGATGGAGCTAGATATGGGGGAAACAGGGGGAGATTGGGAGCATTGGTGATTGAGAAAAGGCGGGGAGAGAGGGTTGGGGAAGCGGGAAAGAAAGGGAGGTGGAAGGCGGAAGCAGTGATGTTTCATTTACCGTGCGAGGTAGTGAGCAGCGAGGGCAGAGGCGGCAGCGGTGCGGCGGAGCGTGATGGCCGTGCCGTCCATGAGGGCAAGGGGGGCGCCAGTGGCAGCAGAGGAGAGCAGGTAGCTCGCTGCCACCGATGGCAGGCCGTAACTGGCGTTGCCAGGGAACACTGTCGCCAGCTTCACACCCAGGAATGGCTCTGAAAGGGAAGAGGCACGGGAGCCATAGTGTAAGTTGCATGAGCAAAGAAGTGACTTGAGATCTCTCAACAATAAAAGTGACTCTGCCATGCAGCACTGAAGGAACTCTTTTGTGGATTCCAGCACAGCTGTACGGCTGTAATCCAGCATTCGCCCCGCCGTCACATTTGCTGTGGTTTCACATTTTCCTGCAGCATCCGTTGCCATACAGTACTCCTGGCTGAACCCCATCCACTCCACCTGCGCCTGTCCTCCATCTGCCCCCAATGGAATAAGACCCTCACCTTCCGTGCCACAATTCGAGTCCCAAGCGGGCATCACCAACAGCGTTCCGCCTGCCTGCTTCCTCCCCTCTGCTGCGTTCCTTCCTCCACTTCCTATCTCTCCTCCTTCTTCCCCTCCTTCTCCTCCTCTTTCCCCCGTCGCTTCCGGGTCTCCTGCTGCCCCAGACCTAGCATCCGTTGTGTCATTACCATCTCCATCCTCATCCGCAGCACGCTGACCAATGGTGTAGTGCTGGCGTGGCGGGGCGGCGATGCCACCTCCGCTACTGGAGGCGCGGAAGGCCTCGCGGAGATGCTCAATGAGTGCTGGGGGCGGGGGGGCCGGGGGGAGGAAGTGGGGGGAGAGGGGGGCATAGGCGGGGCAAGATGGGAAAGCGTGGAGGCGTGCTGAATCAGCGTGTGGGAAGTCAATAGGGGGAAGAGTAGACGAGGAGAGCGAGGCGTGGAAAAATGAATGTCGGTTCGTCGCTCACTGACTTGAGACACCGCTCACTCACGGGTTCCATCCAACCCCCCACCTCTCATCTCTCATCTTTCATCCCTCATCTCTCATCCATCGTTGATCGCCCGTCGCTCACCGTCGTACGGCAGCGCGCGGTGGACTTGCTCCGCGGTGAACACCCTCATGGCGGCCCTTGCGCTCGCCGCCGATCGCGCTCGCGCAAAGCGCACAGCGCAGCGTCTCTGGCCACCGAGTCTCACGTCCACGCCACGGCCTACGGATACGCGATTCGCGACGCGCAACGGATATCGCAGCGCCTCCTGCATTGCGTGCGCGCAGGATCTGTGCTATGTGCGGCACATGAGGTGCGCACGAGCTGTAGAGCAGCGAGGAAATGCAGTGGTGTGAAGTGTCAAAAATGTGGGCTGCTTGGTGGAATTGAAATCCGCTTGAGTCTGCTTCAGTAAATTGTAACGTGACCAGAAGAATCTCATTAATTATCTGCATTTGTACTTTCGACAAGGTCGTATTTTCGACGCGGTTGGAGATGGTTACAGTGCGGTAAATGCTCGGTACTGAAGCCTCGACTCATGATCTTGTTCGCTTTACAACATTCACTTCTCCAATCTACACACAAATCAACAGCAGGAAACTCAAATTCCATTCTCAGCAGTAAGTATATTCATTCTCGGGCGCACGCCATTCGCGTCGCGCCTCGGCTCGGCATAGTTGATTCTCCGGAGAACAGAATCTGTCCGGTTCCAGCTTACACTCTCCTGAGTCCTGACTGTCGTCAAGGCATCCGCATTACATTACACCCCCGTTGAAGCGACAGTGGCGACGGGTGACCTGACTTGAGCCGTCGCCCAGCGTCTCGCCGTTGGTTCTCCCATCGTCCATCGCCGTCGTCTCCGGAGTCGGAGAATGGCTGTAGCAGGTGAACACTTCGGTTGCTGCCCTGCTCCTCCCTTATGGCTGCAGCTGCACGTTTCGTTGAGCTGTCCTGCTCGTCCCTACCTATAGCTGCAGCTGCACGCTTCGTTCAGTTGTCCCTACCTATAGCTTCGTTCAACTGTATTTAATCGCCAGAACAATCCACCAGTGATTATTATCTCTCCCCATACGCATTTCCCTCTCGTTCCCTCAATTTCGCGTTTCCCGCGCAGAGCAGAGGTGGCTGACGTCAGCGTGGGGAGTCTGCCGGACGAAGGGGAGGACCGGCGGGAGATCGGGCACCTGGCGGTGTGGAGTGTGAGCTCCGCGAAACCCGGCAATGGCGTCGAGCTTCTGAGGGATGGCAAGACGGACACGTTCTGGCAGTTAAGAATTGTAATATGCATTGGATTCTGATGCTTAGAATCAACTGAATCGGTTTTTCAACGTGGACCCTGCAAACCCCATTTTATTTTTTTCTGGTACGTCTTGCTAAGTGCCAACATTTCTTCACGTGTGTGTGCAGATCAGATGGATCACAACCACACTTGGTGAACATTCAGTTTCAAAAAAAGGTCCGGTTGCAGGTAAGTGACCAGGTTTTGCAATAACATGGTTGCAATAATTGTGTGCTGTGCTCTGTTGCACTGTTGCTCTGTGGCCTGGCTTGACACCCACCCTCAACCCCCCACCACCCCTCCCCCCCCCAGCACGTGTCACTGCACGTGGATTTCAAGCTGGACGAGAGCTACACGCCCAACAAGGTGTCCATCCGAGCTGGCAACTCCTTCCACGACGTCAAGGTGGGTGGGTGTTTGGCAGGCAGTGCTGCTGACATGTTGTCATGCTCACATGTGCTCCGAGCAAAGATGGCAGTTATGCTTTGCATGTGCGCTGGACGGGAGCTACACACCTAACAAGGTGTCCATTCGAGCTGGCAACTCCTTCCACGACGTCAAGGTGGGTGCACTTCTCAGGGCGGGCAATGCTACTGATGGTGCCTGCATGGCAATGCTCATGGCGTTCCCAGTAGCATCTCAAATGGACATGCTGTTCATGCTCACAACGATGCTTCCCGTGACATCATCATGGCATTCGCATGATGGCATGCTCGCTATGATGCACCCCGTAGTGATGCTTCACTTGTGGTGCACATCTCACCAATGGCACTTGTGCCTCACATGTGATGCGTTGTACAATGGCAGGAGGTGAAGCTAGTAGAGATGAACGAGCCATCTGGGTGGGTGCACATACCGCTGCGACCCAGTGATGACAAGTGAGTCACCGTAAGGGGAATGGTTAGGCTCGCTGGTTACCCCGTTGTGACTGACCCGTGAATGACAGCTTAGTTGATTTGGAGGGATCTCAACAGCAAGTGCTTTATGCCTGTCCCTGTCCCTTTTTGAACCACAATCGCCAACCTTGCTTCTTATTGCCGTCATGCATGCACCCCTCCCGTGCCCATCTGTGCCACCCCAGGGAGTACCTGCGAGCCTTCTACCTGCAGCTGGCGGTGATATCCAACCACCAGAACGGCCGTGACACACACATCAGGCAGATCAACATCTACGGCCCCCGCCAGTGAGTCATTGCTGACATGACGCCCATGCACAGTGTCCAGGCACTTCTACAGTACATCTTTTCGCCACCCAGATCAACATCTACAGCCCCTGCCAGTGAGTCATTGCCCACATCTTGCCCTTCCACAATGTCCATGCACCAGCACAGTACATCCTTTCTCGCTACCCTCATCATCATCTACAGTTCTCGCCAGTGAGCCCCAATCACGGCCTATGGCCTGCCACACAAATGCCTGATATTTCACCCCACATGTGGCCCACCTCTCTGTCCCTTGCAGGAATGTGGTGAGAGCAGTGGGGGTACCCATGGAGTTCAATACAGTGGAATTTGGCATGTATGCTGCTGTTAGGTAGTGCTGTGGCCATCGAGAGAACACTTGATAACGACACACCTGGCTGTGCATATTGTGGGTTGTGCATATCTGTTCGCTATTTCAGGTCCAGGCATCTTATCAATACCCTTTCAGTATCTGGTGAAATTTTGCAATTTTTGTGCCAGTAGTGACAGCTCACTAATCACCAAGCAGCACTGAGATACAGTGGGTATATCCAGCAATAGCCTTGTCCCCAAAATGGTCTTACCACTTTTGCCTCGTCCCAACAGTCACCCTGTCCCAACAGCAGCATTGTCCTACTCTCACTCCTATCCAGCCCAACACGTCCACAGAAGCACAGCACAGCACACCCTCTCGCACCAATCCCACAGTTACCACTATGCCTCACCTTATCTTCATCCCTTCTCACCCGCAACTAGTTTGTTTCCCTCCCTAACCGCTTCACTCTTCAAGCCCCACTAGGTCATCGAGCAGCATTGGCGAACCACAGGCGGCTGCCCCGCCCCGCCCCTTCCACCCCCGGCCCCACAATCTCACGCCTCAACACCCCCTCCTCGCTGCCCCCTGCTCCCAAACCAGAAGCAGGGTTAGTACTCGCACCAGCGTTGGTTCCATTAGCAGCACCGGATACAGCACCAGTCGGAGCGGAAGCATCAGGAGGGGGTGAGCGGGGAGCAAGGGGGCGGGGGGCGGCCGGGGTGAGGGCGAGTGGGAGGGATGTGGCGGGGGAGGGGATGGAGGAGGAGGGATGCTGCAGAGGCATGGTGGGGTGGAGTGGGAGTGTGGCGATGATGGCATGGGCGTTGCTTCTCAGGAACACGTGGTCTGGTCCTTCCATGCCAAACAACTGGTCACAGGAAAGAGGGGGAAGACGGGAAGGCACGGTGTTAGAACATATGTGCGTAGTGGCGCGCAACTTTGATGACAGCTCCATCAGTGTGCACTTGCGCTCAGAAATACATGGTCCGATCCCTCCGTGCCAAACAGCTGCTTGCGGGAAGGGAAACGGAAAGATGGCAGGGATGCATGTAGTGTCCTGTCAGCATTCGAAAGGGATTCGGTGAGATGCGGGCCTTGGCGGTGGCACACGTGAGATGCGGGCCTTGGCGGTGGCACACGTGAGATGCGGGCCTTGGCGGTGGCACACGTGAGATGCGGGCCTTGGCGGTGGCACACGTGAGATGCGGGCCTTGGCGGTGGCACACGTGAGATGCGGGCCTTGGCGGTGGCACACGTGAGATGCGGGCCTTGGCGGTGGCACACGTGAGATGCGGGCCTTGGCGGTGGCACACGTGAGATGCGGGCCTTGGCGGTGGCACACGTGAGATGCGGGCCTTGGCGGTGGCACACGGGAGATGCGGGCCTTGGCGGTGGCACACGTGAGATGCGGGCCTTGGCGGTGGCACACGTGAGATGCGGGCCTTGGCGGTGGCACACGTGAGATGCGGGCCTTGGCGTTGGCACACGGAACACTGGTGAACCTTGAGAGTTCTCACCAGATCGAATGGCAAGGGCAAACCCTCGAATTGACTTTTGAGTCGACTCAAAAGTCACCTCAGATCGAATGGCAATGGCAAACCCTCGAATTTGGACGCACACATGAGGCGGGCGAGGAGGCAAAGGAGGACAGACGAAGCCAAGGCAAACACGAACCTGGTAAGACAAGGCTACACAAAGAACAGTCCCATACACGTACCTGGGGCTTGGAGGCAATGAGTTGGTCCAGCGACCCGTAGAGAGGCTCATAATGAGCCCAAGTTAATGGGGCGAGCAGGCGTGCAAGGCGCGGCGCAACAGTGGAGGAGATGAGGGCCTTGGCGCCCCTGTCCGCTGAGAGTGTTCGCACGATGCACGTCAGCAGCGCCCTCTCGTCCTTCAACTGCGCTCCCGGGGGCAACGGCGGCATCATGGGCTCGGGGCGTGCGGCCGGTGGTGCTGCGAGGGGTGCGGGTGCTGCATCATCTGCTACTGCTGCTGGTGGTGGTGTCGTGTCGATGCTAGCTGGTGCGGCACCCTCTGTTTTCTCTCCCCCACTGCTCCCTGCTGCCAGCACCGCCGACGCAGGCAGAGGTTCAATCCCAACTTTCCCTTCGATCCCCGCTTGACCTCCCGCGTTTGACTCTGCTGCACCTGAGGCCTCCCCGCTTGGGCGTTCCGGCACGTATGCCACGCCCCCCAACCCCACATCCACCCCTCGGGGCGGCGACCGCTGCGTGATGGGACTGGCTGCGAGCTTCCGAGGGGCAGCAGCAGCAGCAGCAGCTTTAGTGGCAGGGGTATCAGTAGCAGGGGTTTCAGAAGCAGGGATATGAGTGGCAGAGGAGGCAGCAGCAGCGCTGATCGGGAGAGACTGGCCTGCATTGCTGTTGCTGTTGCTCATACTGGTGCTGGCGCCAGCATTGCTGTTGCTAGTACTGGAAGAGCCATGACTGGAAAAGCTGTCTCTCGGAGTAGCATCAGCAACACTACCGCTGCCCATGTGCCCATTAGCATGCCCGCCTACTGGGGCTTGATCACCCGTGCTGCTGCTGCCACCGCTCTCCCTACCCTTCTCCCCTGTGTCTCCAGTGTTGTTGCTGCTACTTGGCCCATTGCTAGTCCCAGCACTAAAACCAAGGCTGCTCGCATGCTGCTGCTGCTGGGATGAGGTGGGGTCAAGGGGGAGAGGCTGGTTGCTCATGGGGTGGGTGATGTGATGCATCACCACCGCTTGCTGCTGCTGCTGCTGCTGCTGCGGCTGCTGCTGCTGCTGCTGCTGCTGCTGCTGCTGCTGCTGCTGCTGCTGCGGCTGCTGCTGCTGCTGCTGCTGACTTGGCTGTTGCCCCTGCGGTTTTGGTGCCTGCGCATGTGCTTGCCCCTGCCCCTGATTCTGCATGTGCAGCTGGTTCTGCTCTGGTAACCCTGTAACCGCAATCCCTGTCTGCTGCACCCCTGCTGCCTGTAATCCTTGCCCTTGCATACCAGCAGGTGGGTAGGCGGCAGGCGGGAGAGTGGAGGGGTGTGGATGCAGAGGATGCAGGGCTGGGGGAGAGGCGGAGTGAGGAACAAGCATAGGCACGGGTTGCATGGGTGTGGGGCCAGGTTGTATGGGTGTGGGGACGGTTTGCATGGGTGCAGCGTAGAAGGGGTGGGGCATGTGTGGGCGGATGAGGTAGGCATGAGGCGCCATGGGCGGGTGGACCTGTCCTGACTGTGCCGCCGCTGCTTCGCTCTGTGGGGGAAAGCACGGGGAAAGACAGGAAAAAAAGGGGGGAGAGAGAGACAAGGTGAAGGGTGCAGCGTAGAAGGGGTGGGGCATGTGTGGGTGGATGAGGTAGGCGTGTGGCGCCATGGGCGGGTGGGCCTGACCTGTCTGTGCTGCTGCTGCTTCGTTCTGTGGGGGAAAACATGGGAGACGAGGAGAGAGGGAGACAGAATTAGACAGGAATGGGGGCAGGATAGGAGTGGGGGAAAGAAAGAAAAACAGGAAAAGGGGCAGGATAGGAGACGGAGAAACAGAGAATAAGGAATGGAGAAGGGGAGAATGAGATGGAATGGAGGAGTGGAGGGAGTGATGGAGAGAACAGAGGAACAGGAAAACAGGAGCAGGACTTGGCTACTTCCTAAGCTCCTCGTATCGTCGCATGAACCTCGCTTCCCATTGCTTGGCCCATGGCTTGACTCAACCATTGCCTTGTCCCATGATCCATGAACCTCACCTTTCCGTCCTTGCTGCCACCAGCACCACCCACGCCACCCAACGCTACCCCAGCTCCTTGCACAACCCCTCCTGCTTCTCTTCCTGCACCCGTGCCCCCTGCACCGCTCCCTCCTGATGCCCCCAGAGCGCCTGCTGCTGCTGCTGCTACTGCTGCTGCCTGCCCTCCTGCAATCGCTGTGCCTCCTGCATTCCCTGTGCCTCCTGCTGTGCCAACACCCGCTGCTCCTGCTCCTGTTGCCGTGCCTGCACCCGAAGCAGCGGCAGGGAGGGCGCCGAGCCTGGAGCGCAGGTCCGTGTTCTCCATGTGCAGGCGCTGCATCAGCTGCATGTGGTACCGCTCACTCTCCGCCAGCTAGTGGGGAGAGAGGGTGGAAACGGCAGGGGGAAGGTGGGGAAGGAGTTGGAAAAAACGGTTTGCAGGTCATGTGAGCATCACCACAAACATGCTGCATCAGCTGCATGTGGTACCGCTCGCTCGCTCTCCGCCAGCTGTTGTTTCGTGGGGGGGGGGAGGAGACGGCAGGTGGAAGGAGTTGGAAAAAACGGTTTGCATGTCATGTGAGCATCACCACGAACACGCTGCATCAGCTGCATGTGGTACCGCTCGCTCGCTCTCCGCCAGCTGGTGTTTCGTGGGGGGGGGGAGGAAGGGGTGGGAGTGCGAGCAGAGAGATATAATGCGCGCCACACATCTTATTGAAAACAATGAGGATACCAACCCACCTGCTGTCTGAGCTGGCGAGTGACAGCAAACAGGCGATTGGCGGCAAACAGGCGATTGGCGGCAAACAGGCGATTGGCGGCAAACAGGCGATTGGCGGCAAACAGGCAATTGGCGGCAAACAGGCAATTGGCGGCAAACAGGCGATTGGCGGCAAACAGGCAATTGGCAGCAAACAGGCAATTGGCGGCAAACAGGCACCAACATACCTGCTGCCTGAGCTGGTGCGTGACGGCAAAGAGATGGTGGCACTGGTCCGTGCGCTCCCTGAGCTGTTGAGGCGCATCGAGAACACCCAACCAACCAACCCACTCACTCACCCACCCACCTGCTGCCTGAGTTGGTGCGTGACAGCAAACAGGTGGTGGCACTGGTCCGTGCGCTCCCTGAGCTCGCCATGCAGGCTCTGATTGGCTGCTGTGATGGCTGCCACGTGGGCCTCCATGTCCTGCCCGTGCGCCGCCCACCCCTGCGCCTCCTTCACCGCGTCCTCTTTCTGCCACAACTCCTCCTGCACCAGCCGCAGCTGGTTCTGAGTGTCTCTCAGGCGCTGCTCCGCGTCAGCCACTTGGCTCTGGAGCCTCTCCATCTGCGCGCCCATCTCTGCTCTCTCCGCCTCCCTCTGACTCGCCTGCGCCTTGCTCTCCGCCACTGCCCCGTCCCGCTCGCGCCTGCAGTGACGTGGGGTGGAGGGAGGAGGGGAAGAAAGGGAGGAATGAGTAACTCGCCTCCCTCCGCCTCCCTCTGACTCGCCTGCGCCTTGCTCTCCGCCACTGCCCAGTCCAAGGGAGGAATATCGTAAGGAGCAGCAGCAGAAAGCGTTCCGCGTAGCTTGTGGCATGCAAGGGCATGCAGGCGATGTAGGAGGAGGAAGAGGGAGCAGAAGGGGAGGGCAACAGCAATAACAAGCAATAACCGCAATAACACTGCTCATTTCTGTTCCCCTTCCTGGACATACCGCCCGCCCAGCCCCCTCACTGCAAGGTAGGTCGCACACAAACACACACACTGCTCAACAACCACTCTCACCTCAAGGCTGCCACTTCGGAGTTCTTCTCTCGAATAACACCTTCCTTCTGCCACACCTGCCAAAGTCCAGACACCCACCGGACATCAGGGAAGCAACCCGAATGCATTTCTTGGAAATATGCGTCTCGAAGTGTGGTGTGAAGTATGAGAGTAAACCGTGTTCAATGAGCCCCCCTCTCACCCGTTCCTTCATCTCGTTCTGGTGTGCGGCCACCTGCTGCTCCGCCTCTTCCGCCCTCTCCTTCACTCGCTGCATCTCCTCCTCCTTGCTCCTCACCTCTTCCAGTGCGCCCGCCAGTTGACTCTGCGGAGGAGCGGGGTGAGTAGGGAGGATGGGGGCGGAAGGGGGGGAGGAAGGGAGAGGGGGGGGAAGGCGGGAAGGACGTGGTTTGACCATCACTATAATGAGCAGAACACGCACATTTGATTTGCGGATTGTGTGCTGCATTCGACTTGAAAGGGCCACCAGGGGGAAAAAGCGAGGTAGGGAGGGTGGTGGCAAGGGGAAGGACTGGGAGAAGGGGAAGGTTGGGGGGATGGGGGGAAGGGGAAGAACGAGGACCCGCAAGTTGCCCCCCCACCTTGAGCAATGCCTCCGCCGCCAGCAGCTGCTGCCTCTCCGCGTCAAACTCCGCGCGCGCCCTCCCCACCTCCACGCGCGCCACAAGAGCCGCTGCGCGCGCCACCTCAGCGCGGATCGCTGCCTCGCGCGCGGCTTCCGCTTCCGCCAGCAGCGCGCGCAGCTCCGCCTCCCCCAGCGCCAGCAGCGCGCGCCCCTCGTCTTCCACGTTGCGCACGTCCTTATGATTGGCTCCTCTGGCTGGTGAGACTCCCGTGCTGGGCGTGGCGATGGCGGCTATATCCACCTGTCTGTCTGCCTCCCCTCCGTCTACCTGTACCTCCTTCTCCTCCTCTGATTGCTCCGCTTGCTCCTGCTGCGATTGCTGCGACTGCTGCTCGTGCTCCTCCTGCTCCTGCTCCTGCTCCTGCTGCTGTTCAAACTGTTGCTGCGGCTGCTGGCTGTTGAAATTGTCGTTCTCTTGGCGATCCACTGCAGGAGACACATCTTCGCCCTGTCCGTTGCTCGAAGTATAGGGTTGCTGCTCGTGCTGCGTGTGCTGCTGACTTGCAACCTCCGCTTCTTGCTGCTGTTGCTGTTGCTCTGCCTGCTGCTGCGCCTGCAGTTGACCGTTATAATCGTGAGGTTGCTCCTGCATCTGTTGCTGCTGCTGCCTTCGTGTTTGGTTGTCCTCCTGCTCACACGAACGGGCAGCAGAGACACGAACCGTAAGGATGTTGGTATGTTTGGTATGCGTCATGCTCCCCAATCCTGTTGCATGATGTGTCCTGCAAGATCGTTACAAGGCAAGAAGAACCACGAATCCTACGGCTGGAAATTAATCAAGCTATAAACACGATAGTACAGCGATGCCGCAGGACCAACGACCGACGGAACTTCCAAGTCGATTCGAAACGGGCCTACGAAATATCGCACGTGCCACGACCGACGGAACGAACCTCCTGCGACAAACTCGACGACGTGCTGCTGCCGCTCGCGTGCGACTGCCGCACGCCCGTCGCTTCGCCGTTTTCTAAACCCCCAGTCGGCCCGGACCCTAAGCCGGGCCCTGAGGCGGAACCATCCAGATTTTGCGCCGCCTGCCCGTAAGGTCTGCTGTTCCGCCCACGCCCTCTGTACTGCGGCAGCTGGTAGACCTGCCGCGGAGGTCCCCCTCCGCCACTTCCCCCTCCACCTCCCCCTCCGCCTCCCCCTCCCCCTCCCCCTCCCCCTCCCCCTCCGCTGGTGCTCCCCTTTCCTCCCCCGTCCCCGCGGCCGTAGGCACTGTTCATCCGTCCATATGCTCCTCCTCCTCCTCCGCCGCCGCCGCCGCCGCCGCCGCCGCCGCCGCCGCCGCCGGGTCGGTAGTATCCAGGCGGGATCTGCTCCTGAGAGGGACCCCCTATTCCGCGCATCGCCATCCCGGGAATCCCGGAACCGCCGCCTGAACCCATGGGTCCTCCGGGATAATTCTGCATGCCGTCCGGAATTCCTTTCGGTTGCGAGTATACGTCGGAATTTGTGACTCTACCGAGGTGAATATTCGGATCGCTGACAATTCGCCAGACTTCTCTTCGCCTACCGCCCGGCATGTTACCCAGCGGGTTACCACCACCGGGACCACCGGTCGGGCCGCCTCCTGGCGGCATGCCATAGGAATTCATGACGGCCCGCGAAAATTCTAACAAACGGCGGGATGTGATGTATACGATGATCTCTCCCCGGGTAAATTGGCTCTCTCTCCTAGCGTAAAGTGGCTCTGTCTTTTCGTGTAAAGTGGTGATCTATCTTCGAGTCAGAAGATCTGCGAGGTGATCTGAGGTGACGCGAGCCTCGCGTCTGCTCTGATCCGAATCTCGTGAACTCGGGACGATTGTTACCGAGTAAAGTGAAAAGCGACGAAACTAGATTACGCGCTTTGCAAGTAATCGTCTAGACTAATTATAGTTCTTACGAACCATCGGGTCGCCTAACATCTAGCTACTACGGCTTGAGCAGCCGAGGCTTTGGTGTGGCTTGACTTTCTGGCCTTGCCGGTAGGCAAATGATTCCCACCTAGCCTAGTTGTGTTGTGTTCGGTCCTTCATAGAATGGATCAGATCAGACTTGAGCAAAGCAGAGAACAAAAACACCACACCACAGGGAAAGGGAAAGTTTGAGCATGCGAAATCGAACGACATTTACACGACGATCGTCGACTGGGTATCCACCTCGTTGCGAAAGGCATTTCGATAACTTTGAGGGGACCTGATCGTTGGGCTTCGGGTGGGGTTCCCCACCCACCCCAGCAAACCGCCAGCCACCAGCCATGTGCGCCACGTGCCAGTGCTTGTGCTTTTGTTGAAGGGGCCGTATTTAACTTTCTTTTCGCGAACCTAGCCAATTGATTAAGCTTATGCAGTCCCCAATCTCAACGCTTAGACTGTATATTGATCCGGTGTACTTCTGCAACTTTTCCAGACAGGAGTGCCGCGCTCTGCACTGCTCGAGGCAAGCCGAACCGAGCTCAATTGCCGCCACTTTCATCCCTCGAAGTTCCCGAATTTCCTCTCTATTTCGAAGCTCCACTGGCGTCTTTATTCAATATCCCACTTCGCTACGCTAGACCGTGCTATTATTGCTCGGCTACCATCGCTCGGGATACCGTCGCTCGGGATACCGTCGTTCAGTCTAGTGTCGCTCGGGCTGCCGTCGTCGCTCACCGGATACCATGCCGGGAGCATCACTCGCCACTAGCCTGAGTCTGTTCCAGAGGGGAATGGTCATTCAGGAACGCGCGATGACGCTTCGTCCTTTACGAAGCGCGTCGGGTCTTCGATGTGTTTTCGTCGGCGAGCCGATCGTACCTGACCGTCAGCGTCGTAGTAATGCTAGCTATCTCCATAGGACCCTGCTGATAAGCATCGGCACTCTCGCCTTACTATCTCGCGAGCCGTGCGCTGCTTACTCCCGAACGAACTTCCGTAGTTCGCATTCTGCATCACGGAGTGAACGAGAATCATATCGTACTCGCTACTGCGTTATTTAGCAGAACGGAACTGGCAAACTTGGATCGCTTTGTGACGAAATCAAGCGTTCCTAAGCCAGACATTCTCAAGCCAAGGCAGCGATGGGTCTGCCACTGATCCTCCGCGTCTTGCCGTGGCTGACCGTGTTCCTTTCCGTGCTGCTGGCACGTCCGGCCTGGAGCCTCCCGCCTCCACTCCGAACCGCAATCCGAGGTCCGGGACAGGCTCGGTACTCGGCATGCGACACAGGCAAGGGCCGCGCGGTGCTGTACAACTGCGGGCTGCAAGTGGGCAACGCGACGGCCGGCATAGCTTCGCTGCATGACGTGCCGTCCGCGCAGAAGTGAGTTCTTAGTTCTATCCATGAGAGCCGACGCGCGTCCATGCATGGGTGCCGAGACGCGTCCTTCCATGGGTGCGAAAGAGAATGCCCCGCTACCAAAAGTGACAGTACGCTGCAAACAGATCCTCTCTGATGTCGTACCTTGGATGATGTGGTGAGTCGAGTAAAAATTGTGTTGTGACAGTACAATGCTGACACCTCTCCTCTGCTGTCGTCCCTTGGAGGAAGGGGGATGTCTGCCTGCCAGGACAATACTCAAGCACGTATCACTCCTCTGGCCCCGCCTGACACCCCTGTCGTTGGAAAATGTTACCACATCGCTAGTTTGATTTCCCTAAAATATCCGCGATATTGTCAAGCTCCTTTATTCCGTGTCATCTCATTTGCTGTCCACTATCATCCCGTGTCCACTCCCATGTCCTGCGTGCCACGCCGTCTCCTCTCCCCATACCTGTTGGCTCCCGCGCCAGCTACTTGGTAAAGCTTCGGCCAGATGTGCCAGCGAGCCGGGTGGACGAGATATGCGACCTGGCGGAGAGCAGCAACAGCACGCTCTACACAGGCACATGCCTCAAACGGTGCGTGCCAGTGCCCTTTTTTTTACTGAAAATGGTGGCTCTTCTCCTTCTTTTCCTATCCTACTGCCGCCTTATCATCCCGGTGCTCCGTAGCAACACATTGTTGCATGCACGCTCCAGGTGCAGCGTGCGCATGCCCATGCTCTTGTTCGTGCTCATCCCATATCTATATCCTTACCTCGTGCTCATTGGCATGCTCGTCCGTTCCTCTCAGGCCAGCCGCCGCTGCTCGCATGCATCTCATCACTTAACCCTCACCTCACATGCCCTTCCCTCTTCCCCTCTCCCCGTCCACCAGATTCAAGGCGCTGTTCAACGGAATGCTGATGAGCATATCAGGCCAGTCGCTGCTGCTGGCGCCTATGCCATCCCATCTCTCACCCCTCACTGACATGCCGCACCCCCCCTCCCCCCTCCACCAGCTTCAAGGCGTTGTGCAACGGCATGCTGATGAGCATATCGGGCCAGTCGCTGCTGGCCCTGCTGGCATGTCACATGTGATTCCATCTCTCACCCTCACATGCGCGGCACCCCCCTCCTTCCCCTCCCCCTCCCCTCCCCCTCCCCCAACCAGCTTCAAGGCGTTGTTCAACGGGATGTTGATGAGCATATCAGGCCAGTCGCTGCTGGCACTGCTGGACGCCGAGTCCGCCCTCGTGCAGTTCGTTGAGGTCGAGGGCCACGCCCTCATCGCTTCTGCTCCACCTCCTTCCGCTGCTGCTGTTGCTGCTGCTGCTGCCGCTGCAGCTGCCTCTACTAGTATTGCCACAACCACCGCTGGCGCCGATGCCACTGCTGCTGATGATGGAGATGCGTCTGGTGGTGGTCTTGATGGGTCATCTTCTAACAGTTCGGCTGTTCTAGCATCCGCATCTCTGGTCACGCGCACTCAGGTCCGTTCATAAAGGAAGGAGGAAGGAACAACCGAGCATGCTATCTGTTGCTTCCTGCAGTATCCGCTCTGACTAGCCAAAGCGTATCACATTTTCATATATGCGCGCACTCGCGCCTCGCCTCGCCTTCCACCGTCACTCACCCTTGTCCTCCTTCCAATCCCCTCCTACCCATACCTCCTTCCTCCCCACCCTCCGATCCCTGCAGCGCAAGCCACTGTCATGGCGGCTGGACCGCATAGACCAGCGGCCAGACGCGCCTCCCCTGAATGGCGCCTACTCTTGAGTCGACTCAGAAATCAATCTTCTCTCCTCTACCTCCTCGCATTTCCCCACCCGCCCATCCCTCCAGCGCAAGCCCCTCTCGTGGGGGCTGGACCGCATAGACCAGCGCCCAGGCGCGCCTCCCCTGAATGGCGCCTACTCTTGAGTCGACTCAGAAATCAATCTTCTCTCCTCTACCTCCTCGCATTTCCCCACCCGCCCATCCCTCCAGCGCAAGCCCCTCTCGTGGGGGCTGGACCGCATAGACCAGCGCCCAGGCGCGCCTGCCCTGGATGGCGCCTACTCCTATCCCGCCTCTGCGGGTGCAGGCGTGCACGTCTATGTGGTGGACACGGTGCGTTGCCAGCCAGGGCCACAGTCCTCGGTCCTTGCACTGGGGTCTGCACTGGTGGGGTCTGGATTAGTTGGGTCAGGATTAGTTGGGTCTGGATTAGTTGGTTCTGGATTAGTTGGGTCTGGATTAGCTTTTTGTGCTTTCGCTCTGCATCAACCGCACCTCTCTTCTTGCTGTCCTCGCTTTCTGTTTCTCCTGCTCCCCATTTTTCTTTTTTTGTGCCCCTTTGTTAACCCCTTTCCCTTTTTCTCCCCGTTCCCCATTTCCCATGGTCCGGGTCTACCTTCTTCCTCTGCAGGGCGTGCGTGCGCCGCTCCCACAAAGACTTCCACGTCTCAGACGGCCAGCTCAACCTTTTCTTCTCACCCCTGAAATCACTTTTGAGAATTCTCAAAAGTGATTCCAAAAATGAGAATTCTCAAAAGTGATTTCAAAAATTAGAATACTCAAAAGTGATTTCAAAAATGAGAATTCTCAAAACTGATTTCAAAAATGAGAATTTTCAAAAGTGATTTCAAAAATGAGAATTCTCAAAAGTGATTTTAAAAATGAGAATTCTCAAAAGTGATTTCAAAAATGAGAATTCTCAAAAGTGATTTAAAAAATGAGAATTCTCATAAGTGATTGACTTCCACGTCTCAGACGGCCAGCTCAACCTTTTTTTATCAACCCCGTTCCTCTCCATTGTCCCCTGCTGTCCCTCCCTCTATCCCCCACGTCGCCACTGTCTGTCCCTCCACCCCTGCAGGGCGTGCGGTGCTCCCACAGCGACTTTTACTTCTCAGACGGCCGAATCAACCCCGCCACGCGCCGCCCTGCGTCTCGCTGCCTGCCGGGAGTGGACACGGTGGGGGATGGGCGCGGGCAGGGCATGGCGGACTGCAACGGCCATGGCACCCACTGTGCTGGTAGGCCGTGAGGGGACGTGCAGTGCAGTGCAGTGAGGAGCATTTCGGTAACGGGGCCAGTTGGGTGAGGTGGTATCCTGTGCCCTGCACTCCCTCCCTGCTGCCTGCTGCCTGCTGCCTGCCTGGAGTGGACACGGCGGGGGATGGGCGCGGGCAGGGCATGGCAGACTGCAATGGTCACGGCCTCCACTGCGCTGGTAGGCCGTGAGGGATGGTGTGCAGTGCACTACACTACGAGGTGGCGAACCGCGCCTTTATCCACTTGGGACGCAGTGCAGAATGGACTGTGCGGGCAACGGGGCCTTCCAGGACAATCTATTACCTCACGACTCCTCCTGTTCCTGTGTCTTCTCCCCTATTACAGGCACTGTAGCTGGACTTGTAAGCGGGGTGGCAAAGAGCGCATTCATCCACCCGGTGCGCACCATGGCCTGTGCGGGCAACGGGGCCTTGGGGGACATCCAACTCCCTCTCTGTTTGACCCTCTTGTACTGTCCCCCCTCAGGCACCGTGGCTGGATTAGTAAGCGGAGTAGCCAAGAGCGCGTTCATCCACCCAGTGCGCACCATGGCCTGTGCGGGCAACGGCGCCTTTGGGGACATCCTGGAGGGGCTGGACTGGATCGCTCTTTGCCTCCTCCCTCCTTTTGCTTGCTCCCCCTCTCACAGGCACGGTAGCAGGCCTGCTGAGCGGAGTAGCAAAGAGCGCGTTCATCCATCCAGTGCGCACCATGGACTGTGCGGGCAACGGGGCATTCGGGGACATCCTGGAGGGGTTGGACTGGATCGCCCGCCACTACCAGGCGCCCGCTGTGGTCTCCATGAGCATCACCATGGCCACCTCCGCTAGTCTTGATGCTGCTCTCAAGGAACTTGTTGAGAAGACAGCCATCACTGTGGTGAGTGAGCGGTGTTGTGGGGGGTGTGGCAGCTGGTGACTGCAGTGCCCGCTGTGGTGTCCATGTCCATCACCATGGCCACCTCCGCTAGTCTTGACGCAGCGCTGAAAGAGCTGGTGGAGATGACGGTGATTACGGTGGTGAGTGGGGGGCATAGGTGGGGGGCATGGAAAGTGGGAGATTATTGTGGGACATGGGGGGGCGCTGCTGTGAGGAGCTGTGGTGCTTACGCTTAAAGAGTTGAATGTGACAACAGCGAGGGGAGAGGAGCCCTCTGGTTCTAAGTTCAGTGCCTTCCTGCTCTTTCTCTCTCGCCCCCCCAGGTGGCAGCAGCAGGAAACTTCTTCTCGCTTGCATGCAACTACTCGCCAGCGGACAGTGATGACGTGATAGCAGTGGCATCCAGCACCAGCTCTGATACCATGAGCTGGTTCTCCAACTACGGCTCCTGCACCGACATCTTCGCACCAGTGAGCCCTCCTTTAGTCCGGCATTTTCTTTTCAAGTCTGAGAACCTTCCAATAATCGCTCATGTGCCGGCCCAGTCAATGCATCGAGCCTTGCCTTGCCGTTTCAGCACTGGAAAATCCAGAAATTACACTGACACCTTTCCCCTGCTAGGCAAAATTCTCTTCTGGTGTCTTTATGAATCATAACTGTGTATGTGTGTTTGTGCCGTGCATGCATGTGCACTCCCAGGGGGATGAGATTGTGAGTGCGGGGTCGGCATCAGACACTGCAATGGCAACCATGTCCGGGACATCCATGGCATGCCCGCACGTGGTATGTGCATCTGCAAACGTGCCATGGCGCGGCATGGCATGGCATGGCATGGCATCGCATGCCTGGATGTGGACTGTATGTGCATCACCTTTCCAGGCCTCAGAGCTACATCATTTGCGTGTCATGGCATGGCATGCCATACCATGTCAGCATGTGCACAGGGAGCGTGCGTGCAAAACCCCATGTGTAGAAGCTCCTCATTTTTTTGGGCCACCAACTTCGTACCCTCCATGTCTTGGCGCCCTCTTCTGCTTCCCATCCCCGTCCCCCATCCCTTTCGTCTCCCCGTCACCAGTCAGGAGCAGCAGCTCTATACCTGTCCATGCAGCCGTCCGCGCGCCCCAGGGACGTGCGCAAGGCACTGTACGACACGGCGTACCAGAAGGCAGTGCAGGCAGTGAAGCCCAGCACGGTGCCGCGCCTGCTGTCTGTCAACTTCCGCCCCCTGCTCGTGGATGTGGCCCCACGCTCCTTCCTCTCCATGCTTGAGGGCGCCACTGCACGCATCAAGGTGCTGCTGCTCAAGGCGCCTGGAGCCGATGTGGTGTTAACTGCCACAGCTGCTGATGCCAGTGTTGGTGAGTCAGTTGTTGTGACGGGACGAGCTGGTATTGCTTGTTACGCGCTCCTTCCTCTCCATTCTTGAAGGGGGAAGTGCACGCATCAAGGTGCTGCTCATGTGGTCTTCACTGCGACTGCTGATGATTCGAGTGTTGGTGAGTGGGTCTGAGTGGGTCGGTGTGATGGGGTGAGCCATGTGTGTATCCCTCTTCTCATCGACCCATCTCTTCCTCACGAGCCATGGTGTCCTCAACTCTCCCCCTTTTCTTTCCTCCCCCTACCTCTACCCCCCCCCCCTCTCCCCTCCCCCCCCCAATTCAATGTGGACCGCCCTTCCTTGTGCATCCCGTCATCAGCGTCCTTCTCGCCGCCGCGCCTCACCTTCCCTGCGCGCCGCACACCAGCCGCACAATACATCACCATCCAACTCGCCTACTCGCCCAGTAAGTCCCACTCTCTGAACTGTCACACGAGTGCAGTCAGTTTTCTACTGTCTTCCTTCCATTTCTCCTCCCTCCTGCTCCTTGTCCCCCGTGCCATTCTTCATCCCACCCCTTGTCTCGCTCACTTTGTCTCTCCTCTTCGTCCTTCCTTCCTTGCCCTCCGCCCTGCCACACTCCTCCCTGCCACACCCCACCCTGCCACACCCCACCCTGCCACACCCCACCCTGCCACACCCCACCCTGCCACACCCCACCCTGCCCCCTGCCACACCCCGCCCCACCTCACCCCACCCTGCAGAGTACCTGGATCGAACCACGCTGCTGGCCTTCACCTTCACCAGCAAGGACTCCGCCTTTGGGGCATCCCTGGAAGGATATGCCGTGGCACTCGACAAAGGTGCGTGCTGGAGAGGGGAGCACGAGGGGCAACGGGAAGTGGGGAAGGGGTGGAATCTGAGTCGCCTTTGGAGCTGCAATCCCCCTGCAATGCTGACTCCTTGTTTGCCAGCCTCAGAGGTTGCGGATGGTATGCGAGCAACGCGATCTCGCACCCTCACATTTCCCCCTCCATGCCTTCCATGCCTCCTCCTCACAGATGTGTGCAAGGCACCGTGTGGGCAGAGTGTGCGTGGAGCAGCCCAAGGTGGTGCCATCGCTGCCCTTCTACTATTGAGGATGACAGCACGCACTGCTATGACAGCTCACTCTCTCCCACACCCACCCTCTTATTCCTGCAATCCGCCCTCCCTCCTGTGCAGATGTATGCAAGGCGCCGTGCGGGCAGAGCGTGGAGCAGCCTAAAGTGGTGCCAGCACTGCCCTTCTACTACGAGGATGACAACAGCAGCTAAAGCGTGCAGGGACTGCTCACTCACACTCCCCCACACACACCCTCTCATTCTTGCACCCATGCAGATGTGTGCAAGGCGCCGTGTGGGCAGAGTGTGGAGCAGCCCAAGGTGGTGCCGGCGCTGCCCTTCTATTACGAGGATGACAGCACGCACTACCGTGACCTGTACAACGCCAAGCTTGACAAGTGCCATGACACGGGGCCTGATGTGGTCTTCCAATACACGCCACCCCAGAACATGGTGAGTGGGGGTGACCTGCAAATACCCTAGCTGATTGTCTAGTTCAGTAAGGCACTACACAACGCCCTACCACATGGTGAGCACATGGTCTAGTGCCATTGCTGCCCACTACGAGGATGACAACACGCACTACCGTGACCTGTACAATGCCAAGCTCGACAAGTGCCATGACACGGGGCCCGATGTGGTCTTCCAATACACCGGGTGAGTGAGGTGCTCTCGCACATGGTGAGTGAGGTGCTCTCGCACATGGTGAGTGAGGTGCTCTCGCACATGGTGAGTGAGGTGCTCTCGCACTGCTTGCGGACATGCCTCATTCACCTCCCTATGGTCTCTTACTGTGTGAAAGCATCAAGGGTTGCAAAGTGGTGTCAGTGGACCTGTGACCACGGAGTTTGACTCACTGCGCAGTGCTTATGAGCGCACCAATCCAGCAGCTAGACACATACTCTTCCGCGTCCTTCCCTGTTCCCTCCGTCCCTCCTCCCGATCAGGTGGTGTCAGTGGACCTGTGACCACGGAGTTTGACTCACTGCGCAGTGCTTATGAGCGCACCAATCCAGCAGCTAGACACATACTCTTCCGCGTCCTTCCCTGTTCCCTCCGTCCCTCCTCCCGATCAGGTGGTGTCAGTGGACCTGTGCAGCCTTACCGAGTTTGACTCGGTCCTCAGCGCATACGAGCGCACCAAGCCCGGAGCTAAGCCGGTATCCATCGCATGCAACGACGACTCCTGTGGCACCAAGTCGAAGCTCTCAGGCCTCATCCTCGCCAAGGGAACCACCTACTTCTTTGTGAGACCCTACCCTGCTTTCTGAGAGCCTTGATCGCAATTTTTTTCTTTCTCTCCACATTTTTAGCTCTCCATTGTGACCATTCTTTGGACAACGCTGCACACTGCCCCCCTGACTCTTTTCCGCAACTCGTTTCCCCATTTTGTGGATGCGTGCGTGTTCGCGTCCCTCTGCTGTCATACCTGGCAGATGGTGGACGGGTGGGGAGGCACAGGGGGCAAGTTCGCAATCAACATGGTTGTCACCAAGGTGCTCAAGGCCCTCGACGCCAAGGCACCCCGTAACAAGGCGTTCCAGCCCATCCGCTCCAAGGCAGTTAGCGCAAATGCGCTCGCCTCTCTGCGATCCATGCCTGTGCCACCACAGTCTCACCAGCTTCATCCGCTCCTCTCTCTGCCCATCAATCCCACCTCCTCCCACCCTTCCTCCTCCCACCCTACTTCTTCTGAGTCCGATGGTGGCAATGCTAAAAAAGGTGGCAGTGGTGCCAGTGCTGCGAATCTCTCTTTCTCCTTCGCTTCGCCAAGCCACCTCTCTCATCCACCCCGCTTCATCTACATGAATGGCAGTACTCCCATGCCGCTCGCCCCCGCCAGTGGCCCTGGTGTGGGGGCGCGTGATGAGGGCTCAGGTGCTGACGCCAAAGGCTCTTACCGCGTGCTGACAGGGCCCTGGGGAGAATGCTCCGTGTCGTGCGGTGTGGGGCAGCAGCAGAGGTAGGCGTGGGTGTTGGGTGCGGTTGGGATGGTTTTGGGGTGGCATGGCCCGGGGCGGCATGGCATGGGGTCGCATGGCATGAGGTGGTGTGGCATGGGTTGGCATGGAATGGCGTGCATGTGACTTTTGAGAATTCTCAAAAGTCACTCCAATATAGCATGAGGTGGTGTGGCATGGGTTGGCATTTAATCAAGAGGCATGGAATGGCGTGCATGTGTTTGCATTTAATCAAGAGGCCGTCGCTCGTCCACTTCTCACAATTACCTTTCCTGCTCAGCATTTGTTCCGTGTATCATCCACCTGCCCTCACTGATCTGTGCTGTCTGTCGCTTCATTTGCCCTCAGCATTCACTTCATTTCCACACCCACTCCCGTCACCTCTCCCGTCACCTCTCCCATCACCTCTCTCACCAAAAGCTCCTCTATCAGTATTCTTCCTGTTTCCCACCTCCCGGCCAATCGCGTTCCCATCTCTCTTGCAACCCCCTGCCCTGGCCCCTCGAACCAGAATGGCGTGGTGTGTGGACGCCCAGGGAATGACGGCCAAATCGCCTCTCGCCAGCTGTCCGCTGCTCCCTGCTGTGCCCACCACTCAGCCATGCCAGCTGGCACCCTGCACACGCGGTTACTGGGACGTCACACAGTGGCAGGTGCGTCCATTTTTATGTGTCACATTAGAGAAGTCTCAATATTGGCACATGTGTCAAAAAATCCTCTGCTTCTTCCACCCTCTATCCTTCTCTGCTCTCATGCTCTCTCTTTTTCCGGAGCTGTGTTGAGAAGCGCTCACCTCTTTACAACCCTCACCATTCTTGCTCTTAATCGTCCTCCCGATGCCAGGGTTGCAATGTGCCGTGCGGTGGTGGCTTTGACGTGCAGTCAGTGGTGTGTCGAGACGTCGTGCAGGGCACCATGCTGGACGACTCCTGCTGCCCCTCCGCCCCCCCCTCCTCTCTCCCCTCACTTCCTTCTTCCTCCCGCCTTTATTCCCCTCACCAGGGCTGCAACGTGCCATGCGGAGGGGGTGTGAACGTGCGGTCAGTGGTGTGTCGAGACGCCGTGCAGGGCAACATGCTCGACGACTCCCGCTGCCCCTCTGCCCCCCCTTCCACCAACCAGTCCTGCAACACACAGGTGCCGCCTCTGATTACCACCCTTTTTTTTTTTTTTCTAGAGCCTCACAACCTCAGAACCTCACCCTCACACTCTCAGAACCTCGCCCGCCCTCATACCCTCAGAACCTCTCCCTCACACCTCACACGCACACCTTCACAGCTCCTCTCCCTGCCAGTGCGCTCTTATTTCGAGCCCACCATGGGTCAAATCGCCCTCTCTCACTGTCTGCTCTTCCCCTGCGCCCTCCAGCCATGCTCTATCCACATCTGGAGTACTCGCAGCTGGTCCCCATGCCAGTACTCCCTAACCCTATTGTCCGATGTGCGCTCTGGTTTGACACCCCACGGCAGCAGCAGTAACCGCAGCAGCAGCAGCAGCAGCAGCAGCAGCAGCAGCAGCAACCGCAGCAGCAGCAGCAGCAACCGCAGCAGCAGCAACCACAGCAGCAGCACTAACAGCAGCAGCAATCAGGGTAGCAGCAGCAGCGGTGGAACGGGGTGGAGTGTGGTGGAGGAGGAGGTGATGCAAGTGTACGGATGGAGAAGAAGAGAGATTGAGGTATGTTGAGCCGCCCTTTGCTTTCTGTGGACCAAGCCACTGTTCATCTTGTTCCAATCCCAGTGAATGCCCCAACCTGAACTGTCGTGTTTCAATCACAGTGCGCTTCAAAAGCTTTTGAGGCGCCTCAAAAATGCCCAAAGCTGAACTGTTGTATTTCAAGGACAATGCATGCCAAGCCTGTTCACTCACTGACATTAACAAAAACAACCTGCAGAGTTGTCCAAACTTTGTGACTCACTCGCCCCGTTCCCACTCTCCCTCACAGCCTTTCCGTTTCCTCTAGCCTCTCCTGTATCTCACTTCCCTCACTCACCTCGCCCTCGCTCCCCTCCCTCACTCTCGCTTCTCTCTTACTCTCTTCGCCCTCCCTCTTTCCATACATCTCAGTGTGTGAGCATGAGAGGCCAATCAGTGCAGGACTCGTTCTGCTCCAGCTCAGTCAAGCCTTCAACGTTCTCTCCCTGCCTCCCTTCCTTCTCCCTCCTTCCTTTTCTTTCCCTCTCTTTCCCTGTCTCGCAGTGTGTGAGCATGAGAGGCCAATCAGTGCAAGACTTGTTCTGCTCCAGCTCAGTCAAGCCCGCAACCTTCTCCCCCTGCCTCCCACCTTCACCACTCCCCTCCACCACCTCTGATGCTGCCTCCTCCCCCTCCGTTTCACCCTCTTCCTCCTCCAACGCTTTCAATACTACCGCAGGCATCGTTTCCAGTAATGCAACTGTTACCGCCACCATCAGACCAATTAGACCCAGCAGCAGCAGCCACAGCAGTCGAAACAGCCGCAGCAGCCGCAACAGCCACAGAAGCCGAAACAGCCATAGCAGCCGGAATAGCCACAGCAGGAAAAGCAGGCACGGCAGGAACAGCAAGCACCGCAGACACAGCAGGCACAGCCACAGAAGCCGCAGCAGCAACAGCAACAGCACCTCGTCTCTCCTCTGCTCCAGCCTCTCGTGCATACACGGCACTTGTGAGGTGAGCAGGGCACTTGCAATCTGTTTCTGAGGTGTCTCAGAAACAGCAGGCACTTCCAACATGAGCCGTGTCATTTCTTGTGCTCATAGTTTAGATGGGTTGCCAGCCCTGTGTTTTGAGAATTAAAATAATAATAATAATTAATTTTTTTTTTTTAAAAAAAACAGCTGCAACAATATCATGTTTTGAGTCGACTCAAAAAGCAGCTGCAACAAAATGCCAAATCGGTTCTTGGGTGACCTGAGATGGGCTGCTTGGCGTCACAGTCACTGCGTTGCTGGCAGCCCAGTATTTGAAACGCCTCCGACCTCATAACTCCGCCCTGTTCCTTTCACCCCCTCCATGCAGCGGGGAGCATGTGTGTGCAGGGAGGGATGGGCAGGCAGGCCCTCAGTGCAGCGACCCTCACCTCTGTGGCGGCAGGCCCGTGGGACTCATGCTCTCTCCCACTACTCAGGTCTTATAATTCCTTCTGCTCCCTTGCCGTCTTCCCCACCCCCACCCCTTCATCCATGCAGCAGGGAGCATGTGTGTGCAGGGAGGGATGGATGGGCAATCAGTGCAGCAAGCCTCACCCCTGTGGAGGCAGGCCCGTGGGACTCATGCTCTCGCCCACGCCTTTTCACGCTCAAACTGCTGCTTCTGCTGCTGATGATGATGATGATGATGCCGATGCCGCCGCTGATGTTGCTGCTGTAGCGACAACTGTTGACCTGCCAAGTGGGTTAGGATCAGGCAGCAGTGATAGCAACAGCACGAGCAACCCCATCAGCAGCAGCAGCGCTCTCAACCCCATCATCAGCAGCAGCGCTCTCAACCCCATCAGCAGCAGCAGCAGCATGAATATGACTGTCTCAGTGCACGTGTCCTGTTGTCCAGCTTTCCTAGTGGATCGCTGGGGGTGGTGCTGCCTCTCTGCCTCTGCCCGCCTTGACCAGGTCTGCTCCTGCTCTTGCCTCTGCTCCTGCCCCTGTTCCTGCCCCAGTGGGATTGCGCCAGCACGTTGGGTTTGCAGCACGTCTCAACCCAACGCTGCAGTAGCCCGTCAGAGAGTGTCCCGGTTATCTTTTGGAGCTGTCTGGCACACAATGCTCACATGCACATTATGCTGCAGATTGTTTTTGAGAATTCTAAAAAACACCCTACAGCTGTCCGGCACACTCTGCACAAATGCACATTATCTCATGCTGCTTCCTTTCCTGTACTCTCCTCTTCCTACCTGAGTGCCCCGCTTGCCTGTGTAAATCGCTGCTCCCGTCTGCTTGTCTGCCTGTGTTCCTGTGTGCCTGTGTGCGGTGCGAGTGGGTGCAGAACGGTTCATGCTGTGAGAGTGGCCGAGTGGACGCCTGTGGAGTCTGCAATGGCAATGGAAGGTACGGGCGAGAAGGAATGGGAGAGAGGTGAGGTATGGTTGAGAAGCAATGGGAGAGAGGCGAGGTACGGTTGAGAAGCAATGGGAGAGAGGCAAGGTACGGTTGAGAAATTAATGGGAGAGAGGCGAGATACGGGTGAGAAACAATGGGAGATCGAGGTGAGGTAACGTACCCGCCTGTTGCTGTTGCTCGAGCAGATTCGGTGCTTGAGTCTCTGTTGAGGACTTACACTCGCACACTTGAGTTTAGGGCGATAGGGCAAATCATGCAGAACGGGCGAGATGGGGATGTGCTGTACTGACTTTCTGACAGACTAGTCGCATGTGTTGTGTCTCATGTTTTGAGACGTCTCAAAACACTCCTTCTTTCACGTGACTTTCTGACAGACTAGTCGCATGTGTTGTGTCTCATGTTTTGAGACGTCTCAAAACACTCCTTCTTTCACGTGACTTTCTGACAGACTAGTCGCATGTGTTGTGTCTCATGTTTTGAGACGTCTCAAAACACTCCTTTCACGTGACTTTCTGACAGACTAGTCGCATGTGTTGTGTCTCATGTTTTGAGACGTCTCAAAACACTCCTTTCACGTGACTTTCTGACAGACTAGTCGCATGTGTTGTGTCTCATGTTTTGAGACGTCTCAAAACACTCCTTCTTTCACGTGACTTTCTGACAGACTAGTCGCATGTGTTGTGTCTCATGTTTTGAGACGTCTCAAAACACTCCTTCTTTCACGTGACTTTCTGACAGACTAGTCGCATGTGTTGTGTCTCATGTTTTGAGACGTCTCAAAACACTCCTTCTTTCACGTGACTTTCTGACAGACTAGTCGCATGTGTTGTGTCTCATGTTTTGAGACGTCTCAAAACACTCCTTCTTTCACGTGACTTTCTGACAGACTAGTCGCATGTGTTGTGTCTCATGTTTTGAGACGTCTCAAAACACTCCTTCTTTCACGTGACTTTCTGACAGACTAGTCGCATGTGTTGTGTCTCATGCCCGTCGTTCCTCCCTCCCGTCTCTCCTTACCTTCTCCCACTAGTTTTTTTTGGAAACGGGCGATTGCGGTGCATCGGGCCTGAGCCGAGGGCGAGGGGGGTTTGTGTTGCCCTGCTGCCAGTCTTTGACTCTGCGTCTCATCCCCCACATTCCCCCTACTCATTCCCCCTGCTCCTTCCCCCTTCCACTCCTGCTCCCGCCCCCCCGTCCACCTTCCTTTCACCCAGCGCCGTGGACGTAAGGGGAGACTGCTGCACATCGGGTCTGAGGGACGACATGGGCGTGTGCTGCCCCTCTGCCCGCCTCGATGCCTGCGGGCGATGCGATGGGGACGACACCTCCTGCGCGCTCCTCGCCACCGTTGCCATGCGGGTATGCGCTCTCCCGGGGTTCTCCAGGTAACAGGACTTTGACTCAAACGCTGGGCAGTTGTGCTGCCCCTCTGCCCGCCTGGATGCGTGTGGGCGATGCGGTGGGGACGGCACCTCGTGTGCCCTCCTCGCCACCGTTGCCATGCGGGTACGTGCTCTCTCGGGGTGCTATGGGTAGCAGGACTTTGACTGAAAAGCTGGGCAGTTTGTGTTGCCTCTTTGCCTGCATCTCTGCCCGCCTCAAAGTGGATGATGCAATTGGGATGGCACCTCGTGCGCCCTTGTCGCCACCATTGCCATGCGGGTATGGGCTCCCTCAGGATGCTATGGGTAACACCGTTGAGGCGCCTCAGGAATGGTCTCCTGGACACTGGCCGTGGGGATATGTGCACACATGTGACACGTGCATTCAGGGTTCTATGCAACTTGGTCTGATCGCCTCTATTGTCTATGATGCATCATCTCGTATCATGTTGTATTGTATCGTGCCCGCATCATGCTGCATGGTGTGGCATGTTTATTCAAATGCAGGTGCCCTTCCGCCCACCCCACAATCACCCTCCCTACCCATCTCCCTCGGCTCCTGTTTCCTGTCTCTCGCGCTTCCAGGTACCGTTCTCGCAGTCAGTGGCCTCGCATGCTCTCGAGCTTGCCTCCAGCACCGTCCATCCCAGCTTGAATGATTATGGCTCCCTTAACAACAGCACGGATGGCGATAGAGGCAATACAAGTGCAGGTGACAGTGCAGGCAGCAGCAGCAACCATCACTTCAGCGACTTTGCTTCCGCCTTCATCAATGGGGTACATATCGCACGTCATGCTCTAGAGCTAAGGCACGCCTGCCACGCTGGTTCTCACACATCACTGCATGGATGCATCTCCCCACACATCACTGCATGGATGCATCTCCCCACACATCACTGCATGGATGCATCTCCCCACACATCACTGCATGGATGCATCTCCCCACACATCACTGCATGGGTGCATCTCCCCACACATCACTGCATGGATGCATCTCCCCACACATGCACATACTCGTTTGGACACACATGTTACCACTTGGTCCCTTCATCCTTTTCCCTCCCCTTTTCCTTTTCTCTCACACACCTGTCCTTCTCACTTACTCCATCAGATGCCTGAGATCCTGGACGTGCTACCACAAGCCATCTCCTTCGCTTCCTACCCCCCTTTTTCTCTCACACCCCTCCCTGTCTCACACACTCCATCAGATGTCTGAGATCCTGGACGTTCTACCACAAGCCATCTCCTTCCTCTCAATCACACCAGCGCCATGCCTGCCGGACTTCCCAGGAGCTTCGTTTCCAAACCAGATTTCCTCAGCCACCGAACCTAACTCCCAGGCTGGGCAGCCTAGGTCTGGGGTGGAGCAATCAGACCATGCGTGGGAGTGGGAGGGGGGGTGTGGGCAGCTGGATGACACGAACAGCCCCAGAGGCATTTCAGTGCAATTCGTTGCGCAACCCCTCGCGGTACGTGCCGTTGATGTTGCTGTTGATGCTGCTGCTGCTGCTGCTGCTGCTGCTGCTGTTTTAGAGCTAAGCTAACTCGTTCTTTGGGGGGTGGGGATGGATGGGTGCTGTGTTGTGTGCAGGTGGGATCCACAACACCCCGCATGGCAGAGACCAGCTTCCGGGAGGCGCTGGTGCAGTATGCTCAGGACAGCATGCAACCCCCAACCACGCCATTTCTGGTGATGCTCCCTCCCCAGCCATTCCACCACAATGCCACCTGCTGCTATCACCCTTTCTTCACTGAACACGTGTTTGCCTCCACATGATGCTAAAATTGCACCTGTAGCAGCTCTTGTAAAGTCTTCGACTCTGCTACTATGTAGCAGCTCTTGTAAAGTCTTCGACTCTGCTACTATGTAGCAGCTCCAACTACTCTTTCCTCCAGACCATCTCCATATCTCACGTGGACCTTCCATGGTGTGCCGTCACATTGTTCCGATCAGGGCGTCCCTGGGGCTTCCTTCATCTCGCTGCTCTCATCAACCCGCCTTGGCATCTGTGGAAACAACATATGTGAGACTGGAGAGCGGTGCTCCCAGCCCAGTATGGCTTCTGCATTGACGGGCAGTTCCTACTCTTACAATGGGACTTCTGAACGCAGTGCTGAGTCTTCTTGCTGCCCAGAAGACTGCCCATTTGTTTCGCTGGCGTGTCCAGCTTCTGATGATGGCCATGGGAGAAATTCTGCATGCTCTGGGTTTGGACGGTGCCTCGACTTCACAGGCACATGTGACTGCTTCTGGGGTATGTATGGAGTATGTCATATGTTCTTTTTGGAAAACAATTTCTCCATTTTGATTCAATGTACCTTGCTTGTTGCTTACCCCAGGTCATGTTGGTGAAGATTGCTCCCAGTGTGCTGCTGGATGGGCAATGTCACCAGTAACGGGTTCATGCTACATTCAGCCAACTAATGTTTCATTTACGTCAGTATTGAGCATCATCGCTTCCAATCCATCTGTTTGCTACGAGACTCCTCAAAATGCTTATCGGCCATAGAAACCGAAGAATGGCCTCCGAAGATGTACAAACACCATGCTTGAGCAAGGATTCATATATTTATGTTTGCTGAATCAATTTCAATACGTTATCAAGTTTTACAGCTTAAGACAGGAACTTGTCCAGGCTCTGGAAGACGGTCGTGTTCCATGGGTCGGCAAGGTGAGCTGCCAGGTTGGCGAAGGGACCGGCACCAGTGACGTGGGACTGGATGATGAAGCCCAAGAACGCGATCATGGCGGTACGGCCTGAAAACATAAATGCAAGGGCAGATTAGTTGGACGGACATGGTGAATTGATCCAATGATGTCGGTGCTTTATCGCAATTTACTGAAGAGACGTAGTCATGCTCACCGTTAGCGATCTCGCTCTCCTTGGAGCGGAAGTCAGTTCCCAGACCCATGGGGTTGAAGCCGGGGTAACCCACTTCACCAGGGGGGAGAGTGTTGCCGAAGGGGTCCGTGCTGACGCTGCCGGGCTTCTTGATGTCTTGCCACCTCAGAAGCTCAACAAAGTTGAACAGGATGAACTCGATCGCGAACAGGGTGGGAGTGGGGCACCAGAACTCAGCAACACCGGTGTCGTACCACACGGGAACGTTCAGGAGACCAGCGGAGGTCAGAGCCTCGGGGATGATCATGCCGGCAACACCGAGCATGGCCCAGCGGCCGTTCTGGAGCTCGGCCTGGACGTACCACTTGAGGTTCTCGGGATCCTCGGCCAGGGCAAGGGGATCGAAGCCGTTGTCGCCGGGAAGGCTGGAATGAGAAAGGACAGAGAAGGCATTAGTGGCCTACGAAAAATGTTTCGATATTGCACGGAAACAATGCGCCTAGAAGAGCTATCGCTGATGAAGGTATCGAACAGCATTTACCTGCCATCGAGCCACGCCGGGGAGGTGGACCCAGGGAGCCAGTTGCCCTTAGCCTCAATCTTCAGGGCGGAGATGGAGGTCGGCTGTGCGTTAGCACGGGTCGACCTGGCGAGGCGCGAGGAACCCGCACCAAGGAAAGTGGACCTAGCCACGACGGAGGCAGCCTGCATGGTGACGGAAGCCATGGCTACGTCTTAAGTTGGCGAACTGAAGGAGGTGGCTTGGAAACAGGTTCCTCTGCAGTCAGCAGTACAACGATTGCTGGGATGGTACTTCAGCTCCTCGACCCTTTCCGCCAGGATGTTCCACCTGTGTTCCCCGCGCTTGGTTGAGAGACGCAATTCCCACGGGGGAGGTGGGGGGAACCAGCGACTGGCGAACGAGCGATATCCAAAACTCAAGGCGTATCTGAGTCAGCCAATCGTGGATAAGACCCATCGTTCTCGCAGGAAACTGGTTGGCTGCCAACTTCAGCGCAACGCCCTCGTTGATTTCTGTCGCGAAGTCGGATTGTTTACTGGGTGATAGGCCCCTGACCTTCGTGAAGTGCTGGTAACCAGAAAATCAAATACCGTGAGGTGTAGACACAAAAGAATCAGATGATCATATTAGGAGGAATTCTTTAGCTCTACCTTGAAACACAAACTTGTAACATGATAAATGGTAATGTAGCATCCACGTTCAGAAATACACATACAAAATTGATATTTCGTGAACAATTATAACGGACAGTTTTTTAACGTTAACAGCAGTATTTCTCATACCCGTAAATATATACAGGGCAGAATAATATCAGGTGTAATGACTAAATTGGAAACCTAGTGAAGCAGAAAATAGAAGGACAAAAAGTAAATTTCTCAAGCTGCATTCATCTACCCCAAAGCCGACCTTTCATTTATGGTACACGTCCCAGCTCCTGACCCAAGCACATTGCAGTCAGGTGTTAGAGTAGCTCGAAATGAACAAACTAGCTTTTTGATTATGCCTCTAAATTGCAGCAACGAGAGAAATTATGTGCGTGCAGCAACAAGAAAGTTTTCTTGAGTGGGGGATTGCTCTGCTGGGTACAGAGGTATAGAGTGGGGGATTGCCCTGGTGTGCATCGAGGTATAGGGAGCTTCGCTTTCCCACCATACACGCTAAGGAAGAACAAACTATCCACAGCGCCAATAACAAAATGGTTCGAAAGGAGCATATGGAATTTCTGGGTCGGAGGTGGTTTCTGGCACAGCACGGCACACACACCTAGAGAAAATCAACATGCCAGAACTATATTCCAACACGCTCAGCAGCATGATTTATCACACCGCCGGCCACTTCTGGAGTCCGGACCACCACCACAACAGGTAATCCAACTGACTAAACTTTCACTAATTAAGGTTGAGCTAAGCATTATATTTTAAAATGTACAGGTTCTAACTTAATGGGATCCGTAGAAGGCATCCAGGCTCTGGAAAACGGTGGTGTTCCATGGGTCAGAAAGGTGGGCAGCCAGGTTGGCGAATGGGCCGGCACCAGTGACGTGCGACTGGATGATGAAGCCCAAGAAAGCGATCATGGCGGTACGGCCTGAAAATGAAAATGCACGTGTAAATTAGTGGTCGATTATGCTGTAACGAACGAAGAAAGATCGAAATTACGTTGTAATAAACTGAAAGCGCTCGTCATGCTCACCGTTAGCGATCTCGCTCTCCTTGGAGCGGAAGTCAGTTCCCAGACCCATGGGGTTGAAGCCGGGGTAACCCACTTCACCCGGGGCGAGGGTGTTGCCGAAGGGGTCCGTGCTGACGCTGCCGGGCTTCTTGATGTCTTGCCACCTCAGAAGCTCAACAAAGTTGAACAGGATGAACTCGATCGCGAACAGGGTGGGAGTGGGGCACCAGAACTCAGCGACACCGGTGTCGTACCACACGGGAACATCAAGGATCCCCGCAGCAGTCAGAGCCTCGGGGATGATCATGCCGGCAACGCCGAGCATTGCCCAGCGGCCGTTTTGGAGCTCGGCCTGGACGTACCACTTGAGGTTCTCGGGATCCTCGGCCAGGGCAAGGGGATCGAAGCCGTTGTCGCCGGGAAGGCTGCATCACGAAGACAAGATGCGCGAATTTAGATATCTGAGTGCTGAGTGCGGCTCAGCAATGTCGTTTCTCTTGGTGCCTATCAAACATACTCTACAGGGCACAAGACGCAAAGCCGTGAAGTACCTGCCATCAAGCCAGGCCGGAGAGGTGGAACCTGGGAGCCAGTTGCCCTTGGCCTCGATCGTAAGGGTCGACACGGATGCTGGCTGCGCAGCAGCACGGGTCGACTGAGCAAGGCGCGATTGGCCAGCGCCAAGGAAAGCGGACTTGGCCACAACGGCGGTAGACGCAGCCTGCATGGTGACGGACGCCATGGCTTTTGATAATCAGTGTTGAATCAGCTTGTTGTCTATCAGGGGTACTTAAGACAGCAGGAACAAAGTTCTGCGCCCTTAGTAAATCGGGTTTCGCCAACACAAGCGTGCAGGATTTGACATCAAGCCAATATCCAAAACTCGCTAACATATCTCAAGGGACCAATCGTATTGGAGAACCATATGTGATCAAGGGTATTGGTTGGTTCGCATCGGTCTCTGCTTGGGAGTGAGCGATTCTGGCGCCTCGTGTTTGTGGGCTGAGAAACAGTTGGCGAAACGGTAGTTCAAGCTTTGCGAACAAATTTTGCGACGAACATTGAAGCACACAGGTACTGAAGCATTTTTTTTGCCTGCTACACAAGCTACAGTTCCCACTCAATTGAAATTAGATTAGAACCCATAAGGAAATCGATACCCATCAAAGCATGTGGAGCTTGTACCTACATTGCCCACAATTCCGCACTCAGGAATGCAACGCATAAAACTATCATTATACAAACTGCACGAGATCGCTAGAGCTTGAGCTACATACAAGAAAACAGACGCCATCTCAGAAAATCCATGGACATTTGACATCAAATTCAGGAAGTCTAGCAAGCTCGATGTGTGCCCCCTACTTGTCGAGGTGAACTAATTATGTAAATACTCAAACCTGAAGGATCCGATACATGTTCATGGTGGCATCTGCGAGTGCTCGATCGCTCACCACCCTGCTCAATCAGAATCGGAGTCATCGCTATCATCTGAGTCGTCGCTATCATCATCACTGTCATCATCAGAGTCGGTATCGTCCTTTGCGGCTGGAGGAGGCGGTTTCTTTTCTTCGACTGGCTTGGATGGCGTTGAGGTTGCAGCAGCTGGGGGAGGTGCTGAAGAGGATGCAGCCACGGGCTTTGCGGGTGAAGATTCCTCTTCTTTCACGACTGAACTGGACGGAGGTTCGGAAACGGCAGCAGCCACAGATTTTGCAGGTGAGGCAGTTGAGGGCTTGGATATGGACACAGATGACACCGCAGCTGCAGCTTGTGATCCAGCATCAGCCCCATCACCGGTTTCACGCTGCAACTCTGTGAAATTGCCTTTCTTCAAGAACAGCTGTTGAAAATGCGCCTTACAGTACAGCTTTCCTCCCAGTGCTTGGTAAGTCGAGGTCGTGAGCTTGCATCCACTGTGGACGCATTTGAAACACTGGTTGTGGTACGTGGAGTTCTCGACACTGACCTGAAACGGCAAGAGATCCCATGTGAGCGCGAGACGCACTCATCAACAAAAGCAGTAGGGACGTCGAAAACAAAAATACCTTTTCCAGGGGGTAGACTGTCTTACTGCAAACTACGCACTTCTCCTGTGTCCCCCCGAACCTCGCTGCCAAAGGATTGACGACCCTCTGCATAATATCAAGATCAACTGATTACAATCAAAAACCAAGTTGGCTTGTTTAAGAGGCAAGAGCGACGAGGAAAATCAGCCCTGGCCTACCTTGTTGTCTCCTCCGTATCTCGATACGCCAGTGGTAGATGTCACACCTGAGGCAATAAAAGAACACTGAGATACTCGAACTCGAAATACTTCCAAGGAGTAAAAAGATCATACTCACTCCCAGGTGCCACAGTTTTCTCCTTCTCCGACTTGATGGCCTCTTCAAAGCTTTTGTTGTAGCACCCAGTCTTCTTAAAGAGTTGATCGAAGTGCGGCTTACAGTACAGAACACCTTCAAGCGAAGCGAAACTATTCAGCTGTTAAGACAGAAAACAGAGATCTTTAGCCAACGTAATGAATCGTGTTCCAAGTGGAGAACAAGGTGTTTAACAATTATTCACCTTAAGAGTGCCCTTGCAATGAAAGCACCTGCTCAATACACACAACATGGACAACCTAGGTCAGCTTTTGTGTGTACACGCGCGACGGATATGCACTCTAGAGGAACTCACCGGAAACAATGCTTGTGGTAGATAACCCCATCAGCTATCAACTGCTCCATCAAGTACACGGTCTTCCCGCAAGACTTGCATTTTGTAGTCGTCCCAGTGAAGGCGGACATTTTCAAAAATACGAAAGGACCTAGCCTAATCTCAGAACGAGCTAGGCCTACTTAGGACGACGACAGATCCTGATCAGGGCCCTAAACTCACGCTGTGGTGTTCCCTTCGGAGTGAGCTGGTTGGATGAATCTGGAGAGGAGGAACTCTAAAGTGGCTGGGGTGGTTGTATGGAGGTGGTGTGAGTGTCGCATGGGTGCCTGAACTGAAGGGTCTCGGGGTCACTCCATCGTGCCTGCGACGGAGACGCGACGCTGAGTGCTGGTGAGAGTAGATCGTGCGATTCTGCGCACAGTTTTCGTTTGAAATGGGAGTTACAGAAAGCTTCTTCGAGATCCTGCCAACTTCGGCGAAGCGCAGCTTCTGCCACTGTTACCAGAAGGGATGTCAGGGTTTCGTTCGACTTCTTCGCGGAGAAAGCAGGACCTCTGGTTATTACACCTGAAATGGGTACACGTTACAGGCTCATAACAGGTCCTTGCCATGTGCATAGGGCAATTGAATTTCTGTACTATCAATCCCTCTCAAGCCACTCACTGGTTAGTTCAATGAATTTCTGTATGAGCATGCATCATTTTGAACTTCCACTACATCAAATCACGTATCCTTAATCAACAACGATTAACCTTTTTTGTACCCTACACTAGCACATCACAACACTGATCTATGCACGCTCAAGTTAGTGATGTTAGTATTGGTTGTTCCATTCCTTATTGACATGAGCCTGAGAGCCCAGTACCAAATCCCCAGCTGCTCCAGCACCTACACCAGCAGGGGCTTGTTTTATAAACTGACCCCTAAACCTCGGTCTCTGCTCTGCCAGGCGCTTCCGACTCTGATAACGAACCTGGAAGCGCCAAGGAGCAAAAAGGAGCAGCTGAATCAGTACATATGTATGCCACCCACGAAGTCAGCACGCTTCACATTAAGATGTATAAGCAAACCCCCTTGAAAAGGAAAAGCCACATACCTTTTTCTCGAAGCAACGATCCTTGCGCTTCTGCCTGAATTTATTCAACGCTGCCTCTCGCACGGCCTGCCGGCTCATCACAGTAGGAACAGCAGCTCCAGCCGCACACCCTCCTCCTGCAGCCCCCAGCGCAGCCTGGCACTGCCCGGAGCCTTGCGACAGCCCGCAACCAGGCCCACCACATGCACATGCAGCACACGCAGCTGCTTCCGCTGCAGGAGTATCCTGAAGCTGAGACATCCCTCCTCCAGAGCTGGAAATATCCATGGCGCGGCATTGTTGAAGCGCTGTGTCAACTCCTCCTCCTCCTGCTGCTGCTGCTGCTGCTGCTGCTCCACACGTCCCTCTTCCCCCCTCCACCATCTCCTCCTCCTTGCCTTCCTCGTCCCCATCCACCACTTCACCTGTGGTGGTGGCAGGCGTGGCAGATGCGTCAGCAGCGCAGGGAGGGAACGCCACAGCCTGCCCCATCAGGCTCACCATTTTCACCCCATTGCCTCGGCTCGCCTCCACAGGCGCGTGCACGCTCACAGTGCCGCTGCCATTCCTACTGCACCCAGTCACACCCTCCCTGCCTCGTGCCTCCTCGCCTGCTCCCCACACATCTGTCGCTGTGCCGTCTGCGTGCTCTGGTCGCGTCTGCAAGGGAAGGCCATTGGTACTGCCACCCCCAACCCCTGCAGGAGCTGCTTCCCTGCTGTTCTGAGTGTTATGAGCGCTGCCCACACCACCATTGCCCCCGCCTCCACTGCCCTGACCACTCTTACTCCCACTCCCATTCCCACTTCCTCTCCCACTCGCACCCTCTTTGTTTCCACACGCATCCCCATCAACATTCGCTTTGTCACCATCCGCCGTAAAAACATTTGTGCTCTGATGATTGCTGACAGCTGCTGCAGCTGGTGCCGCTGCTCTTGCACACGGTGGTATAGGGCCAGCAGCAGCAGCAGAAGAGCCCACGGTGGCAGGAGATACAGCACTGAAGCTGCTCTCACGCATCAGTGGGCCCTGCTGCTGCTGCCGCTGCTGCTGCTGCTGCTGATTGTGATGGCGTTGGTGTTGGTGTTGGTGGTGGTGGTGGTGATGGTGGCGTTGCTGCTGTCTATTCTCGCATGCAGCATCACCAATTCCGCCATCTCTATTCCCACTGCCATGAGCGCCCGCTTCACTGTTTTGCACTACCTCTGCATGATCCTTCTCCTTCCCTTGCTCCCTCGCATGCTCCCTCTTATGCTCCTTCAGTTGTTGTCTCCCTTGATCCTTCCCCTGATCCCTCCCGTACCCCCTCCCTCGCTCGTCCAGCCCATGCTGCTGCTTGCTACCGCCTCCCGCGGTCCAGGGGGGAAGAGGCACCTTCAGCACAGGGGCAGGAGGGAGACGGCTGGCACATGCCGTGCTGCCTGTAGCCGCACCAGCACCACCAGCAGCAGTGGCAGCAGCAGCAGCAGCAGCAGCGGCGGCGGCGGCGGCGGCCGCCGCAGAGGCAGCAGAAGCAACAGCAGCACCAGCAGCAGGTGCTGTGCCTAAGTGCATCTCCTGAGGGGTTGCTCCCTGGTGCTCTAGAGAAAAAGCTGTGGAGCTGGGCTGGAATGAGGGAGACGGAAGGAAGGAGAGTGAGGCAGCGCGTGAGAGAGGCGCGGGAAGAGAGGAGGCGTGGGCGGCGTGAGGAGTGTGGGGGTTCAGGTGGGAGAGGAGTGGGCGGGTGGGGAGGAAAGACGATGGTGAGAAGCTGGGAGGAGCGAGGCTTGAGAGGAGATTCAGCTGCTGCGCTGCTGCTGCCGCTGCCGCCGCCGCTGCTGCCGCTGCTGGTGTTGCCGCTGGTGCCGCTCTTACTCCAGGTGCTGCTGCTGCTGCTTGTGCCAGCGCCTGGGGTAGCTGAAACTGCCCGTGCTGCTGCTGCTGCTGCTGCTGCTGCTGCAGTTGCAGGCGCTGCTGTGCTTGCATCTGCTGCAGCATGGCTTGCTGCAACGCCTGCTGTGCCAGCTGTGGCATCACCTGAGGCGCGTACAGCCACGGAGGGGGCACCCCTGCTGCTGCCGTCGCAGCAGCCGCAGCAGCATAGTACGCAGGAGGCAGGAACATTCCAGAGGAAGCGTCAAGTGGAAACCCAGATTGTGGCGGCGGCCCTGGGGGGGTAATGGGCGCTGGTGACGGAGTGGGATTAGGATTCCCAACAGGGCCAGCAGCTGCAGCAGCAGCAGCGGCGGCAGCAGCAGCAGCAGCGGCAGCAGCAGAAGAATCAAGATCCGCAGCTCCACAGGCACTACCAGATGCACCAGCACCCAATGCTGCTGTTCTCCCATTCCTCCCTCCATGCCCCTCCCCGCTGCTCCCTGCCGCCCCGCACCCGTCCAGGTCCTCCCCCTGGGCAGGTGAAACTCCTCGCATTGGCGTGGTGGACCTGCCCAGGCCTGGAAAACCGTTGGGTCCGGGCAGCAGAGAGAAAGGATTGAAGGGATGGAACATGGCGGCCGCGGCAGCAGCAGCAGCAGGAGGGGGAGCCGGGTATGAGTCACTGAAGGGGTGGGCGAAGGAGGAGGGGAGAGTGGAGTTGTAGCGGAAAGGAGAGGCCTCCCTATGCTGCCCTGTTGCTGTCGTGGAGGGGAGAGGCGTTGGTGCTGTTGGGTTGATTGTTCCTAGCCCAAGAAGGGCAGCTGCTGCTGCCTCTCGCGGTGCTGCTGCTGCTGCCGCCGCTGCCGCCGCAGCTGGTGGTGCCGCTGGCACTGCTGGTGGTGCTGGTGGTGCTGCAGATGCAGTGGCAGTTGGTGTTGCGTCTGCTTCTGCTGCTCCTGCAACAGCAGCATCCCCTCGTTCTGGTATTCTCTGTGACACTGCCATGCCGCTCTCCCCTTCATTCCCTCCTCTCCTCCCCCCCTCCGCATTTGCACTACCCTTCTCCCCACTCCCTCCGCTACCACTGTTCCCACCGCCATCACGCACGCTCGTCAGCCCGCTGCTGCCGTCCATCTTCCCTCCCGAGCCTCCACCCGAACCTCCCGTACCACCCGAACCTGCAACCAGTCCGCCCGAACCGACAACGGACTTGGGCGGTTGGCTCGACACCTGGTGAGCTGGGCTCTGCGGAAATAGCTGCCGGCACTCCTGCTGCTGCTGTTGCTGCTGCTGTTGCTGCTGTTGCTGCTGCTGTTGCTGCTGCTGCTGTTGCTGGTGTTGCTGGTTTTGCTGGTGTTGATTGTAATGGTGATGGTGGTGATGCAGATGGTGCGACTGTTGATGCCCCCCAGTTCCTGTGAGGGCTATGGATGAACCAGGAGTGATGGTACCAGAAGCGCCTGTATCGGGCGTGCTTGTAAGAGGAGGGGTGAGCAAACGGCTGGGGCCTGGAGCAGAGGCAGCGAGAGGTATAGCGGCTGCAGGAGCAACAACAGCAGGAGCAACAACAGCAGGAGCAACAACAGCAGGAGCAGCAGCAGCAGGAGCAGATGATCCAGCAGGAGAAGAACCCGCAGCAGCGGCAGCGGGGGCAGCAGCAGCAGGAGGAGGGAAAGGGAGAGCAGCAGGGGGTGCTGTGGTGTAGCGGGTGAAGGCAGAGAGTCCCGAGTGCTGCCAGGGGGACTGCTGCCATGCTGCTTGCTGCCACGCTGCTGCATGGTGCTGCGATGCATGGTGATGCGATGCGTGGTGCTGAATGTGCATGTGCGGTTGCAGGTGATGCTGGCTCTGATGGTGATGCTGGGTGTGGTGCTGGTGGTAATAGCTCTGGTCCTGCCTCCAATTTCCCTGCTGCCGCGGACTCTCCTGCTCCCTCTCCCTCTCCCTCTCCTCCTCCGTCTCCTCCACTTGCATTGCTGCATTGTCCCATGCCGCCCTCTCCGAATCTCGCCTCCCTCCTTCCCCACCCTCGTCTGCTTCCACTCGCCTCCTCACTCTCCTCTCTTTCTCCTCCCTTCCTCCCCCCAATGCTTCTGCTTCCCTCTTGACCCCCTCGGATTTGTCTGCTACTGCTGCTCCTGCTGCTCCTGCTGCTACTGCTGCTACTGCTGCTACTGCTGCTACTGCTGCTCCTGCTGCTACTGCTGCTCCTGCTGCTACTGCTGCTCCTTCTGCTCCTTCTCCCCCAACTTCTACCCGCTCATCTCGGCCTCTCTTCCTCTCTCCTTCCGCCCGCTGCTCCGCAGCCCCGTCCTCATGCCCCCCTCCCACCACCATCCCCTCACCACTTTCCCTCGTGTCAAGGTCCTTCTGAGCGTCTCCGCCCTTTACAGTCACGTTCTTTTCAGGAGGTCTCTCCGCTTGCACGCCTCCTACATTCTTAGCAGGAGAAGAACCTTCTTCAGCTCCTTCCTCTGCACCTTCCTCTGCACCTTCCTCTGCACCTTCCTCTGCACCTTCCTCCTCTGTGCCGAAGTTCCACCTCACCTTCTTCCCCTCTCTGTCCGCCTTACAAGCCATCTCGATAAGAGCAGGAACAGCCCCCTGGGAGAGTGATCCGTCATGTAAGCAGCCAACCACTGAAGTCACCATTTGCGTTACCACGGGTGTTACAACCTCTGCAGCAGCAGCAGCAGCGCCAGCACCGGCACCAGCAGCAGTGGCAGCAGCAGTTTCAGGTTCGACTACCGGTGCTCCTGTCACTCGATCCTTTGAGATTGCTCCTGCAACATCCATTCCGGTTTCCCTTTCGGCAGCAACAACAGCTGCAACAGCAGCAGTGTCGCCACCACCGTCAGGGTCTGTAGCAGCACCAGCGGCAGCAGCAGCACGAAGCATTCTCCCTTTTACCACCACCACCTCCTCCTGCTCCTGCTCCTCCTGCTCTTTCCGCTCCGCCTCCGCCTCTACCTCCGCCACTTGCTCCGCCTCGTCCCCCGCGTCCCCATCCCCTTCCGCCCGCGGCGGCCCCTCACACTCCTCTTTCTTAGTCGAACCTTCCCCGGACGCCTGCGCACTTTCCACCACCGCCTCGGCTGCGCGCACTGCCTCCGCCGCCACTGCGCGTTCCTCCCCGCCCCCCCTGCCCCCGCTCCACCCCCAGCCCCCCCTGCCCCCCTTACCCTGCTGCTGCGGCGGCAAACGGTCCTTTCTCAACCCTCCTGCCCCATCATCCCTCGCGGCACCAGGGTTTTGTCGTCTCGTCTCCACCTCCTCCCCCCCCTTCTCCGCCCGCGCCTGCTGCGCCTTGGCGGCTTGCGCGTGCTGGTTATCCACCTGGCGGGATCAGAGAGGGGCGCGGGGGAGATGGGAAAGACGGGCGAGTGAGTGACGCCGAGGAGTAGCGGGGGAGCGGGTTGAGGGGGGGGGAAACGTGAAGGAAGAGTGGGGGAACTGACGACGGCAGGTACGGAGGAATGACAGCTACGGAGGGGTGGAGGTGTATGCTTGAGAGACGTGGAGGAGTGAAGGAGGAGGGAAAAGAAAGAGACTTGGGCAAGGAGTGGGGGCTTTTGAGTCGACTCAAAAGGAGACTTGGGCAAGGAGTGGGGGCTTTTGAGTCGACTCAAAAGGAGACTTGGGCAAGGAGTGGGGGCTTTTGAGTCGACTCAAAAGGAGACTTGGGCAAGGAGTGGGGGCTTTTGAGTCGACTCAAAAGGAGACTTGGGCAAGGAGTGGGGGCTTTTGAGTCGACTCAAAAGGAGACTTGGGCAAGGAGTGGGGGGATGGAAGAAGGGGAAGAGTGGCCATGGAAAGGTGGAGAGGGACGGGTGGGGTGGGGAGGGGTGCGGAGGGATGCAGAGGGAGGGACGCGGAGTTGGTGCGAGCATGGCATAGTAAATGCAAGGCATCGCATGGCCTGTTCGTGAGGCGTTAGAAAGCCTGAAGGAGCCATTCCTCACCTGGGTGGCTACTTGAGTGCCGCTGCCGTTGTCGCTACCTCCATTCGCATCCACGTTCCCATCGCCATCCCTCTCCATATACACGTCATCTCCTTCCCCTTCCCCCTCCCCCTCCCCCTCCCCCTCCCCTTCCCCTCCGCCCCCAGCGCGCTCAACCCCACCACCGCCGTCAGCAGCAGCGGCGGCGGCGGCGGCAGTGGCGGCGTCCCCCGCGGCGTAGGCGGCGTTGGGCGCGCGCTGATTGGCGAGTCCCATGAGCACCTTGCCGTTGGTGCCGCTGCCGCTGCCGCTGCCACTGCCACTCGACTGGGAAGCAGGGCGAGAGAGAGGGCAGAACGGGCGGAGAGGGAATAGAGAGGGCAGGAAAGGGAGGGAAGAGAGAGGGCAGGAAAGGGAGGGAAGAAAGAGAGGACATGGATGGGAGGGAAGAAAGAGGAGGAGGGAGAGGGAAGAGAGAGAAGACGCGATGAGGAATGGGAGCCGGCGTGCCGGCAGGTGTGCAAGGTGAGAGGAAATGCAGACTGCCGCATTCCGAAATCAGAGGCACGGACGGGAATTGAGAGGTCAGGACAGAGAGCCGGGGGGACGGGAGGGGAAGGGCGGGGACGAGACGGGACGGGCAGGCGGAGGGGACTCCGAGGGAAAACGCACGGCGAATGCACGGCGAATACAGAGGGGATGCAGAGTGCCGAACGATAAGGGGCGAGAGAGGGCGAGGGGGCAGGGCGAGTGGACGAGAGGGCGAGGGGGCGTACGGAGTGGCATCGGCGCCAGACGTGCTGCCAGAGGTTCTTGAGCTCGTTCTTGCGCACGGGCTTGACGAGGAAGTCCGCCGCACCCCTCTGAAAACATTTCAACACCATCTCCATGCTGTCGTGTGACGACATCACTGCAAGGGGGGAGAAGGGGGACGTGGGGTTGGAGGGGGACGTGGGGTTGGAGGGGGGACGTGGGGTTGGAGGGCGGATGCGGGGGGGGAACGATCAGCAGGGAACAACTATCCAACACTTCAACACCAGCTCCGTGCTGTCGTGCGACGACATCACTGCAAGGGGGAGGGGGAGAGGAGAGAAGAACTTAGGACGATGAGGGTGTGAGGTTGGAGGGAGCAGAGGGTTAGCCGACAAGGTCTGGCATCAACTCAAGGGATGATCACTTGAGTGACCTCATCTCTCTACTTCCGTGCCGCGACAGATCTCCCTACTTGTATTTGCGGAGAGCAACGCGGAGACACACTGACGGGGGACTTGCGCGGCTGCACGTCCCCGCCGATGGGTCTCACACCGAGTGCCTCGCGCGGGCCGGCACGTACTTATAACGGGGATACCGCGCAGCTCCTCCTTGCCCATGATGCGCGCGAGCAGCGCGATGCCCGACAGCCCCGGCATCACCACGTCCGTCAGCACCAGGTCGAACCGCCCGCCGCTGCCGCTCGATAGAATCTCCCACGCGTGCTGCCCGCTCGACGCGGGTGTGACTGTAACGGGGGGAAACGGTCGAGGTCGGAGCGGGATACGGTAGCCGGGGAAGCGGGAGAAGGGGAAGGGAAGGCGGGAAAAGCGGGGACAGCGGGGAGGGGAAGAAAAGGGAAGGGGGGTGGGGGGTGGGGGAGGGGAGGAAGGGGGGAGAGGAGACGCGTCTTGAGGTGGAGATTACGAGTGAGAAAAAGTTGGAGTTGCAGCGAGTCTCAGCCATAAGCCACCAGCCCTTAGCCACAAGACGTTAGCCACGAATCAGCCATTCGAACTACACTGGATCCACACAGAACTTCGCAACGGACCGACAGACTCAGGCCTACATTCGCGAATACCATCCAGAGGGATGCGTGGCCACGCAATTACCGTCCTTCGCTAGCAGCACACCCCGCTAGCAGCACGCACATTAGCAGCACACCCACTAACAGCACGCTTAACTTGCGTTTACTCCTTCGCCTACCAGCACGCACTAACCGCTGACCGAATGTACGCCGGCAGAACACATCGCTGACCATTTCAACGCCGACTGATTTTACGCGGCTGATTCTACGCAAAAGCCGAACTTCGGCTAGTCTATCGTCATTCCCAGCAGTCAGTCGGTTCGCGGCCGGTCCAACTCTTGAGAGACGCCTAAAAAGTCGTCTCACTATTCAGGCGCCTCGGAAATAGTTTCCCGCACTCCGTGGGATTGCGGCCCACCTTCGTAGGAGCAGTTTCGGAGAAGTGCCGAGACGACGTGGCGCGTGGAGTCGTCGTCTTCGACGAGCAGCACGCGCAGAGAGCCTTCCATCAGGGCCCCCCACCCGCCGCCGCCGCCCGCTTCGTTCGGCCCGTCGTGCAGCTCGAAATCGTCGCCCGTCTCATCCCCGTCATCCTCCTCTTCGTTATCGCTATTAGCTTCATGCTGCTGCTTCTTCTGCTGCTCGGTTTCCGCCTCCCTGACTCGCGGGTCGCCGCCGGATCCGTTGTCGTCTCCTGGAGTGACGTCCGCGCTAAGAACTGCATCGGTATTTGGTTGTTGTTGAGTCTGAGGCTCGGGTTGTAACGGGCTCTGCTCTTCCTGGTTTTGCGGGAAGATCTGCCTGTCTACGTCGTTATTCTGATCGTACATATGATCAACCGCGAGAGCTATCCGGTCGAACTCCCTGTCTAGACCGTGACCGTGCCGACGTTCACCGATATTCCCTCCGTCGCCTCTTGCAGCGTCTCTCCTATCTAAATCTAGATCCTGATCCCCTAACTCTCCGGCCATTTCGGGATCGGCTCCTTATCGGAAACGCCTGATCCGTAGTAGACACGCTAAGCACGAAATATTATCCCAATTCGGTTTCGTAGGGCTGGAAGGCGATATTTTGGACATTCGACAAGTATATGGTGAACATCTCGTCATCAACATTCAAGAAAACCAGGTTAACAAGCTGACTATCAGACAAGGAAGAGTCTTGCATGAGAAGATGAGGCGAGAGCTCATCAGGACAACTCCAATGTGTTCCCTCGATCAACACGTGTGTGGCTCTCCTTCCTCCTCGTCTCACCCGGATTTTTTCCTCCGCCTTTCTGACCTGTGTGGCCTCAGCGAGATAGGGCCAAGACGAAAGAAAAATCTTTTTCTCCTCCTTGAAACCCTCGCTGCTCCCCGTGCCGCTGTGGGATATCAGTTGCTCGCCCATGGTTGGCTGGTTTGCTGAATGGATGACCTCGACCTCGAGGCTTTCGGAATGTCGGATCGAATGCTGCACCCTCGTGGCACGGTCAGGCTGCTTTTTTTGCGCACCATCTGCCGAGCAATATCAGCCAAGCGAACTGAAGGCCAAAATGGTGGAACAGATGCCGTGGTGGAGAATATCTCGAAATTGCCGTTTCCGCGGTTGAGCCTTTCGGAACTGCCCGACTGCGGTTTTCTGTCATTTCATTTGCCTTGTCACCCCGCAAATTCGGGCCATGAAGGGCGAACCGAGAGGAGGATGGTTTATCAGGCTGATTTGTTGATCCACCATACTGTCCTGTAGTGGTCTAGTGACAAGGCAGGACAGCACGTGATGTAAAGCTTGAGGTCATTCGGTTGCTGGTCTGGCAGGAGAAAAATCTTGTGGCGGGAAACGAAGGGAACTTTTACTGGGTGACGAAACGGCACCACCAGCCAGAGCACCCTTCCAAATCAACAGCCAAATTCCAAAATCTAAACTAACCCCGATTGCGCGGACATGATGTTGGTTAGTGCTGGAGAGCAGGTGACAGGTGGACCATGCTGACTCGTTCGAGCCCAGAAAAATCCCCACAGCAATCGAGGACCATTCAGAAACAGAGGCTTGTGTACAGAATCATTACTTGACAAGGTACCACTGTACGGGCAGCAATAATAGCTGAAGTAGGAGAAAAGGTTCTGAGATATTAGTCAGACTGGGATGCCCTCGCTGCATCTTGTGGCCAATCTTGTTCGCTGAAGTATCTCATCGTCATGCGAGCGTCAAGGGGCACAAAATCGAGTTCTGCAAAATGCTTCCAGCCACAGAGTGCCATGATATGGCTTGGAAAGGTGAGACAGGGAGACGCTGACCTTGGATTGTTTTCAGATATTCACCCAACCACAACCACACAGAAGTTCAGAACTGCCAGGGACAATATTCGACGGATAGAAATAAAAAAGGCTCATATGAATACACCATATACCTGCTAACATAGAACTACAATCTTGTTGCTGTATATAGCCTGGTTGTACACAGCATCTTGCCATCCCTATTAGTATATCTGTCAAAATGGGTCCGCCAGTGGCTCGACAATTAGGTGCATGCCAAATCCCGCCCGCAGAGTGACAGCACTAATGGGGAAGTGCTTATAGGCCGGGGAGAGGCGCCAGGAAAACCCCCTGACGATGTGCGCCAAAACTACCTTTGCCTCGGTGAGGGCAAAGGTGTTCCCGATGCAAATACGCGGGCCGGAACCAAAGGGAAGGAACGCCTGAGGATGAGAACAGGCTTCGTCTGGTCCTTCTGGAATGTGTTGGGATCAATGAATGCACGAGGGAAGAACGGGCATTGGAGGGGTATGAAGATTGGAGCACCGACCACCTGGCACTGAAGCAGTGCAAGATTATAGCAGAATAGGGATAGGGGACACGAAAGAACATGAGTATTGTTGAAAACAAAGAGGAGGGGGAAACAGAGTGATGCAGAAAAAGTGCGAAAAGAGAACGGGGAATCAGGGAAGACGAAAGTTAAGAGAGTGACGGACTGGCGAAGCGTTCGGGGTTAAAGTCGTGGGAATGAGGGCCCCAGAAGCGCGGGTCATAGTGCAGCATGGCCACTGGTATCACCACATCCGTGCCCCGGGGGAGGTCGTATGGCCCCAGCCTGCACGCCTGGAGAGAGTGAAGGGTGGAGAGTGAGAGGGGGAGAGAGTAAGGTTGAGAGAGTGAGGGGAAGAGAGTGAGGGGGGTGGCGGCCTGGATGGGAGAGGCTGAGAGCATGCAACCAACACACACAAATGAACCCATTTCCACCCAGTTGAATGCCTCACCTCCAATCCCTTTCAAACCTTCCTTGCCAGTTGAACCACCGTGGCCCTTATGAGAATATCCTGCCCACACGAGCCCCTCTAGGCATTTCGACCCACTGGCTACTTCAGCCCCCCCAGACCATACCAGCCCATCTTTTGCATTTGAACCCGCCAAACTGAATCGGCCGCCTGTGTCTATCTACCTGCTGGCACATGCAGCTGATGAAGGAGACGGGGGGGAACATGCGCAGGCTCTCCTGCAGCACCATGCCCATGGCCTTTAATGCCCTTCCTCTCCCCCACTTTCCCGTGCATTTGACCCCCCCATCCCACCAGCCTGCGTGTGTCTACCTGCTGGCACGTGCGGCTGATGAAGGAGACGGGGGGGAACATGCGCAGGCTCTCCTGCAACACCATGCCCATGGCCTTTAATGCCGCCACCACCTCCCATGTCACCCGCCCCCCTCCTCTTTGCCCCTCGCCTTCCCCTTCCCCCCCTCCCTCACGTTCTGCTCCCACTCTCCCTGCTCCCTCCTGTCCTCCTTCCTCTCCCTCCCTTCCAAAACCCCCTTGGCCTGATTGTACTGATTTTTCTCCACCTTTCTCTGACCCTGCCTCTTCTGCTGCTCCTGCTGCTGTGTTGGCCGTGGCGGCCGATGACGTGTCTTGTGCCCCCTGCTGAGTCAGCGCCTGCTTGAGCTCAGCTCTCAGCCGCTCCTGCCAGTCGGGATGCTTCGCCAGCAGGTAGAACGTCCACGTCAGCAGGCGAGCTGTGGTGCCGTGGCCTGGAGTTGAGGGGAGCAACAGAGAGGAAGACGGGAAGCAGTAGAGAAGGAGGTGGCAGAGAGGGGGGCAACAGAAAGAGGATGGGTGACATTGGTGAGATGAGGTGACTTTTGAGTCGACTCAAAAGTCACTTTGAGTCGACTCAAAAGGCAACAGGAAGAGGATGGGTGACATTGGTGAGATGAAGAACGCAGAGAGAAGACTTTTGAGACAACTTAAAGGAAGAAGAAGATGGACATTGGTGAAAATGAAGAAGGGGGCAATGTGATGCAGGGAGATGGGCAAAAGTGAAACGTAAACATGGCGCAGGTGGAATTGGAAAAGCTGGTATGGAAAGGAAGTACTAGCGAGGAGGAACGTGATGCACTCGTTTCGTCCATGAGCTGCTGCTCCGTCATCTCCTCGTTGCTTCTTAAACTGGCTCGAGACGCACCCACTAACCCAAAACACCAGGGCAGTACCAGCGAGGAAAATGCATACCAGCGAGGAGGAAGGTGATGCATTCGTCCATGAGCTGCTGGTCCGTCATCTGCTCGTTGCCTGCCTTGTCATGTGCTGCCAGCATCAGCGCCAGTAGGTCTCGAGCACCCCGCCCTCTTGCCGCTCCTTGTTGCTTCTCTGACTCGCCATCTGCTTCCTCCGCATGCACTGCTGCTGCTGCACCCCGCCTCTTGCCAATCAGGTGCAGGGTCAGGTTGCGGATCTTTTTCTCGGCTGCCCAGAGGACAAAGTTTTCTGGAAGCGGCAGAATGCTGCGGCGGGGGAATGGTCAGGGCGTGGAAGAAAGCAAGGCAACGCAGACAGAAGAAAGAACAGGACGCGAATGCTAAGCATAGTGAGGCTTCTGGGAAGAGGCCAGGGCCTCAAAACAAGAGACGAAAACAATAGTGCATTTTCAGGTGCTTCTGAAGAAAACAGCGCTTTTAGGAGACAGCGCCTGGAGAGATTGCTGTAGGCAAGGGCCCAAGCACTGTGACACTGGGTGCTTGGGAGCGCGCTTACTCGTAGAAGGGCACTAGGGAGCGCCAGGAGAAGACCCTCTTGGCGCCCAGCTCTGCCAGCTTGGACAGCGCGTTGTACAGCTGCACTGGATCCCCTGCCCCTGCCCCTGCCCCTGCCCCTGGAACTGCTCGTACTGCTGATGCTGGTGGTGCTGAATCTCCGTTAGCTGGTCGTTCCCTTCCTGCGTCTCCAGGCACGAGCCTATCACCCTCCTCGCCCTCCTCGTGCATGACAGCAGAGCCAAAGGCTGCGAGGCCGATGACGTCCAGAGCCACGAGCGACATGCTCTCCTGCACGTCCACCTCCATAGTCACACGCTCTTTACAAGCACCCTCTAGCACTCCTTCTCCCCTCCCCTCCCTCTGCTGCTGCAGCTGATGCGACCATGCGTTTGCCAGGGACTGGCCCTGTCCATCCATGATCCCCACCATTTCCTGCACGGGTCAATGCAGGTCAATGCGAGTCAATGTGGGTCAATGCGAGTCAATCTGGGTCAATGAGAGTCAGTGCAGATCAATGCTAGGACAGTGGGGGTCAATGTGGGTCAATGCAGGGTCAATGCAGATCAAGACAGGTCAATAAATGTAGGTCAACGAAGGTCAAAGCGGGTCAAACGTGGTAAACTGGAGTTTTTGCGAAGTCAGTGAATCACCAGCCACTGACACAGACAGTCAGCATGGGTCAAAGGTCAGCACGAGTCAATATGGATCAGCTGCTCAGGCAAAGAAAAATCTACCTCCGTGCATGTCAACCCTGCATGTGTTTCTCTTGTTCATTCATACACATGCTGCCATACGCCCTTGCTGCCATGCCATGTCGCCTTCATAAGCCCTTGATCAGCATGATATGGCGCGTTCTCGGCACCAAAGAGCCACACAACCACAATTGGCGCGCCGCTCACCCTCACCGCAGCAAGTCGATTAGTCACAGTGCTACTAGTCAACTAGTCACACCTCATACTCTCATGCTCCCGTGCTCTCAGTTGGTCACTGCGCTACCATCACCCCACCTTGATGACGGCGGGGCGGAAGGCAGGGTTGACGATGCGGCTTTGCTGGGTCCACAGCGAAGCGACCCCTCTGAGAGAGGCAGGCCATTCCCCAGCAGCCATGCTCCCGTGCTCCCGTGTTCCAATGTGTCCCTTAAACTCTTGCACCAGGTAACCACGAGGCCACTGCGCTACCACCAGCTCACCTTGATAGCCGCGGGGCGGAAGGCGGGGTTGACGATGCGGCGCTGCCGGGCCCACAGCGACCCCTCTGAGAGAGGCAGGCCGTTCCCCAGCAGCCTCAGCGCCTTGCGCGCCCCTGCTGTCTTGGTGTAGCGCCCGCTGCTCGATAGCAGGACCTGTCTCACTAGTGCAGGATCCGTTACAAGCAGCTGCGCCGTCCCCCCTATGGTGAACCCGACCACGTCCCCGTACTGCTGGCGCCACTCGTGCAGCCGCGGAAGGAACACAGCCGGACCGTGCGTGGAGGGGGGAGAGTCGGGGGAGGGGGACGCGGAGGAGGGGGAGGCGGCGGAGGCGGAGGGGGAGGCGGGAGGGGGGTGTTGGTTGGGGGACGTTGAGGCAGGAGGAGGAGTGAGGCGGTAGAGGTCGAGCGCTTGACCAATGAAAGGCCTGGAGTGCATGGGAGGAGGGGATGGTAGGGGGAGGCAGGATGCGAGGAAGGGCATTGGGGGTGGTGGTTGCGGGAATTTTGAGTCGTTTTCAAAAGGGAGACACTAAGAGTGGAGTGGATGGACGGGACGTGGTGCGTGATGGGGGGAGGGAGGTGAGGCAAGAAAACGTGTTGAAACGTAAAACGTTATTCTAGCGAAAACGTCTAAAGCATATTGGTCAAATATGCCTAAGTGTACGCTTACTGAGCGGAACGAACAGGAAAGTATTAGCACAAAAAACTGCATAAACGAAATTCACTTCTTGGACAGGCGGAACAACATTTTTTGCTTATTTTGAAAGTAGCCTTGCCTCACGGCGGAAACGAGACGCCTTACTTGAACGGCAGGAAGGGGATTCCTTGCTTCCTGCACAGCCGCACTATGCGGTACGGCACATACACAAGCCGATACGCTAGGAACAGCGTTCCGGCTGCTAGTCCAGCCCACGGAACGAAGGCTAACCACCAGGGAACTTGGTGCTGCCACGTGGCACCATCCTGCCACGTTGCCGTGCTAGACTCGGACATTGGGGTCCTCTGGAACAGCTGGGATTCCTAAGAAGTTGTTACCAGATAGGGAGAAGCAGGAAAGAAATGCTAGGAAAATCCACCCAAAGAACAGCAAGCACTTCAAACCAGCGCCCGATATTCCACCAACGAGAAGCACATATCGGATGGTGAAATCGAGAATTCCTTCCAGCCAACCAACACCAGCGCTTCTCCAGCGCCAGAATTCGAGAAAAACTTCGCCGACGATGCTTCTCTGGTTCCAAACCAAAGCAACGCTACCATGCATACTTATTACGAGTGCAATTGAGTGAGCGAGCGAGAATTGCACTATCGAAGCAAAAGTACAAAGAGCGTAGGTGTTATGAATGAACTTGCAGAGTGCGCAGTAAAACGAATATCGAGAATGAACTGAATCAAGTTGTTTAATACAATGAGAAGAGCACGACTAAATAGGGGAAGTCCTAGCTAGGCGGAGAGGTTGGGCGAGGGTGGCTCGGTGATGGTTGCGATTGGTGCGGAGGCGACTCGGGAGTGGTTCGGTGCGACGAAATAGGAAGGACAGGTTCGTCGCGTGACCCTCGGGATGGCCTTGCTAACGAGTGCCCCAGTAAGGATTCTGTAAATCCTTACACCCTCCCCCCTTCTAAATAAGGCAGTCCTGTACTGAAACAGGGAACCACACTAGCGAGGATTCCGTAGATCTCCTCTTCAGCTGAATCCGACGGCCGAAATGCCTTCGACAATAATTTTGAAAAGGCTGGGATGTAGGCCGTCGATGAAGTCCGATTTTGATCTGACGGTCGAAGATGAACTAGCCCAAAATGAAGTTGAAGTTGGAATGTGGGCCGTTGATGAAGTAGATGTGGATCTGACGGTCGAAGACTGACGCGAGATTGGAGGGAACCTGCAGACGCGAAGTAAAACGCGATGGATCGGTGTGATCGCGTTCGTCCGTCGTGCTGACGCAACCTGACAAAGTCAGAAAGGACCAAGAAAAACGCCAAGGAAAGAACAGTGCAAAGCACTTTCTCCCCCCCTCTAAGAAAGCACACCAGAAAATATTTCACAGCTGCGCCGAGATGAAAAAACAACAAAAAGCCAGGCGTGAAGTCCCACGAAGAAGAGTGTTTTAGCGGAAAGTTGATGACGAAATCGGGTGTGACGTGCCCAAAAAGTCTTCAAGGGCGAACCCGCGTAAGTAGACCAGAAACCGCGGCAGAGATTATGCGTTGCTCGAACTGAATCTGTTTTTGTCTTCACACGCCAGAATCATGCAGTATCTTCAGCAGATGCAGCTGGCAGCACCTGACGTGTTTGAAATCAATGGAGTTGTCGTGGGCGAGTCGAGTGGATGGATTTGTCGCTAGTAGAGTTGGAGCGGCTGTATCCCGAAATCCTCTGGCCGTGAAGTCGGGGTTGGTACGAAAATGTCGTCGGTGAATGCGATTCGTCGTAAAGTCAAATACGAGCGTCGACGAAGTTAGTTGAAGCAGTAATCGAAATTGAATGTCACTCCGAAATTGATGTCGAGCTCGATCTAGGGTCAGATGATGTCAGCACCTCCAACGATTTTGTCCAGACTCGCCGAGCCATTTGTCGTGGTGCGCCGAAGGCTCCTGGGCAGGGATGAAAAAATGCAGTTGTCTCTCCCACCCCCGCACTGTTGATGCTGCCTTCTTCAGTTCGTCGTAAGTCGTTCGTACCCCTGAAAACTCCGTGTAGCTCACGCGTTATTTCTCAACGTCCTTTTCGCGCGTGTTTAACCAAACGCCGAATACTTCTCCGAGATTGTCGGCGCTCCTTGCCGTAAACCTGTAAGTCCTACGGACAAACTCCGAATTTGTCGCTCGAATCTAACTACGTAAATCCGCAGTCGCAGTAGCAGTTCGCCTCCGACAATCTCGGACGTGCTATAGCCGCCCACTCGGTCACCATCAGTTTCCTTCGATTTGCCCGACCCCAGCATGTGGGTACAATCGAGAACCGGGGACTGCCATGGGTTATTCCGAGACCGAATTTCACGAAACCTAGTGGCATCAACGCCGTTGACGTCGTAGTCGAAAACTTCTTCCGCCGATGTTACTTAACAAAATAACCCTTTTCTCCCACCAGTGCTTTGCAGATGTTCACCGCATCGCTCGTCGCCGGTCGATAAGGTCCCGAAGCTACGACTGCTCCCTTGCTCCCTTTTTTCTGAAGAATTTCCCGAGGTGTGCGTTTAAACACCGGGGGTCCTAGGTCTCCTTGCCAGGCAACTTCAAAAAGTGCCCTTCAGGCGAAGAAATACCCGCAGCTTCATTAATTTTTTGGTCCTTTCACCCCCCGAAAATTCTGCTTCCCGCCGTTCACCCAGCGTCCGCTTTTGTCGGATGGGGCATAGTCGGTGTTGCCCGCGCGAGCCCAGTTACGGTGGAGGAGCAAACACTATCGGAGTCGGGGACCCTTATTTAAAAGGAACTGTCGCCCAACCGTTTTGCAGCCCACCGCGACCGCCACGCCACTAAACTCCACAGCATCCCGGTCCCCGCTTCGCCGCTGCGCCGTCACCTCGTGTAGACGCCCGGGTCAGGAGAAACCAGCGAACTGCACCGTTGTTGTCATGCGACGCCCCGATTTTTTCGCGTGCTGTTTCACCCAGCCCGCTTTTGTCGGAGTAGAACAGTGCCGCAACTCCCCTTATTTTTTTGTTTTTTCTGTACAGCTATCGAACGAGCACCAACCCAGGTGCCTTTAACCAGCGCAGGGTAGGCCCGTGTTCACCCCCCTTATTCGGCCAGGAGTGGTCGACTGCATAAATCGGCACTACTACCTGGTGGGGGTGGTGAGGTTCGGGCGATGGAAGGTCACAGGCCGTTCACACCGGCTTTTAACCTGCCCTTCTCGCCGTTTCTCGACCCCCGCTTAGCCGTCGGGAAGTTTCTTCCCGTGTGTCCCGGCGGACTGTACCGACTCCTCCGTAAATGTCGGGGCAGTATGTTGAACGCCGTTTAATCGTGGGTCGCTTGCAGCTGTCCCCGAAAACGACTTCTCTGGTAGGAGAAACCGCTCTCGAAACCGCCGGCCAGCTTGCAACAACTCCAGGCACGCAGCGTCGCACGAGTCATTTTCCGAGGTTACCAGCCCCGGTTTCCCTCGTCGCCTGCGCCCCACTTCTGCTAAGTGCGATATGGCCACTCCGCTTTTCGTTGTAGCCCGTAAGTGTCGGCGGGTTCGAAAATCCCGTCTGTCCACGTGCACTTCTGCCGAAAACGTTGATGACGCGCTCGCGAATGCAGTAAAGGCCGCTGCACTTAACACGTCGGGCGGGACGGCAGTTGACTCCCGCATAAATCGGGCAGTCCTCGTGGCGTCTCTCATCGTCACCAGCTTTTTCAGACGCAAACTTCATTTGCGCTTGGCGAGTTCCCCAGCCGACCTTTTCTTCACAGCAGATCCGAAAATGTCGCCCACAGTGACGCCACGTCCGCTGACGCCAGCTGCCACACAAACTTCCGAAATCGTCCATAAATCGCAGCAGAAATAACTCACTTTTAACGTCGAGACAGCTACAGCTGTCCGCTGCCCGGGGGGAGGGAGGCCACGGTCGATCGCGACCGTTCGAGGCAAGGATCTGGCGGTGCCGAAGGAGTGCCCGTAAAAACATCGCCGCAAGGAGCAACTAACTAGTTCTCCTGGCCGGCCTACGCCACTCCTCGACCCCAAGGCATCCTTCCTCGTCCCCCCACCGAGGGGTATTACACTCTAAAAAATGGGGTGAGCTAGGAAAATAGCTCTGATACCAGGTGTTATGAATGAACTTGCAGAGTGCGCAGTAAAACGAATATCGAGAATGAACTGAATCAAGTTGTTTAATACAATGAGAAGAGCACGACTAAATAGGGGAAGTCCTAGCTAGGCGGAGAGGTTGGGCGAGGGTGGCTCGGTGATGGTTGCGATTGGTGCGGAGGCGACTCGGGAGTGGTTCGGTGCGACGAAATAGGAAGGACAGGTTCGTCGCGTGACCCTCGGGATGGCCTCGCTAACGAGTGCCCCAGTAAGGATTCTGTAAATCCTTACAGTAGGTGTGAGCGAAGAATATGTAGCGGAACTACAGTGGTTACGGTAATGGACTGTGGTTGTCGCGCGACGGGCCTGGGACTGAGGTTTGGGAAAGTGTCAAAGCGGAGGCCCGGAGCGCGGGTTACCCGCCGAGCCGTGAGGTCGGGGTGCGACGTGCGAAGGTGGCGGGAGGATCGTCAATGCAAGAGTTGCGAGTGATAACGGTGCTGACTATGGTGCTACAGTGGTGTACGCGCTGAGCGGGGACGCGAACTAAGGAAAAGGGATTTTCCTTACACTACCCCCCCCCCTTAAGGAGGTCCTCCTTTACGAAAGTGCGTGTACATCCCTGAAGTTTCGGCTGCGCAGATACTCGGTAAGGACGGGGTGGTTTTCGATTCTATCAAAGGGAACCCAGTTGTCTTCGGTGGGTATACGGTCTTTCTAGCGGAGCAGGAACTGGATCCT